TCAGTGCACTTTGTTGTGAGAAATGCAAATACTGAACAAATTTGTTTGGCTTCATTTTGAAGTTTCATCGATTGATGTCAGTTAATTAAGCCACGCCCAAGTGGCTTTTTTCATATCACCTGCAATTTCTCCGCCCAAAATTGGATGCAAACGCTTCTCAACTGCCCGCCAAGTGTTCCAGCAGTCAATTCAACTGCTTCTCAAGTCCACTCTTGAAAGACAACTCCATGGCAGCGAAGCGTTAAGAAATTTGCAGCTTTGTGTTTTTTGATATCTGTAGCTTACCTGGGAGACCACCCGGCAACTAGTGGCTAGTGTCCAGCGACCGACTTCCCTTTTAATTACATTATATGCATAATAAAAGCCTCGCCCGAGTCCCAAAGAGATTGCGACTCCGAATGCGAATGCAAGCAAAAATAATTACAGACACTGGACGCCCCGAGTTGGCGATGTAATCAGCATAAAGCGGAGCAGAACGCCAGTATTATGTTATGAACGCAGTATTTGCTTATGATGGACATAAAAATACTCTATAAAAAAACACTAGGTTCTTCCATGTCAATTTGTCAAGTTATTCGTTAAAAATTAAGCCTTACTTGAAAGATTGAAATAATTTTAGAAAGTTGTCTTTTATTTGGAAGAGTTGAAGAAGATTCTTTGATTAAATATATTTCCGAAGGAATTTATAATATACACATATACCTCGTGTAGGAAAAAATGTTTCTTATAATTCAAGTTTTCTAGTTATTTTTATCTCTATATATAAAACTGTTTGTCCTGACTGACTGACTGACTGACTGACTGACTGACTGACTGACTGATTGGTGATCAACGCACAGCCCAAACCGTAAGAGCTAGGAAGCTGAAATTTTCACTGTAGTTACCTTATGTGATGTAGGTGCACGTTAAGACGGGGTTTCGGGAAATTCCACTCGCAAGTGTGGAAAAATCGCGAAAAACGTTTGTATGTAACTTTTTGGTTTACCATCCCATCGGCCCCAAACTTATTTTCAAAGATCTTTGTTCAAATTCATTTGAGGGGTGTTTCACACTTTTCGAAAAATCCGTTCCTCCTTGGTGGAAATGGAGGTCAAAGATTTGGTGGGTGACGTTTCGCGCTCAAATTCATTTCCAGTGATCTATATGAAAAATCATTTGAGACGTGTTTCTCACTTTTCGCAGAATTCAAACTTCTTCGGAAGAAATGCGATTTAAAGATTTTTTGGGCGGCGTTTTAAGTTGTGTCCGATTTGCTTCAAACTTATTTTTAAAGCTCTTCATAAGAACTTAATAAGTACGTATTTCAGCGATTTGGAAAATTCCACTCGCAAGTGTGGAAAAATCGCGAAAAACGTTTGTATGTAACTTTTTTGTTTACCATCCCATCGGCCCCAAACTTATTTGCAAAGATCTTTGTTCAAAATCATTTGAGACGTGTTTCTCACTTTTCGCAGAATTCAAACTTCTTCGGGGGGAATGCGATTTAAAGATTTTTTGGGCGAACTTTTAAGTTGTGTCCGATTTGCTTTAAACTTATTTTCAAAGCTCTCAATAAGAACTTAATGAATACGTATTTCGACTATTTGGAAAATTCCACCCGCAACAGTGGTAAATTGGCGGAAAACGGTTGTATGAAAGTTTTTTGTTTACCATCCGATCGGACCCAAACTCATTTTCAAAGATCTATATTCAAAATCATTTGAGGGGTGTTTCACACTTTTTGAAAAATCCATCCCTCCTTGGTGCAAATGGGGGTCGAAGGTTTTGTGGATGACGTTTAGTGTTCAAATTTATTTCCAAAGATCTATAAGAAAAATCATTAGAGAAGTGTTTCACATTTCTCGCAAAATCTAAACTCCTTCGGTGGAAAATGCATTTTTAAGATTTTTTTGGTGAATTTTAAGAGTTTTCCGATTTGCATAAAAGTTGTTTGATTCCCGTCCGATCAGTTTCAAAATCATTTTCAAAGCTTTTTTGATTTTATAACATACGTGCCACGGGCAAGGCCGGGTTATACCCGCTAGTCTTTTATATATTTAGCTCAATTCCCAAGCAGCTATTTTATGCAGCAAACTTTATTATTATTTTTTAGGTGTTTGAGGAAGATGCTGCTTTAATTTTCATGATATTTTTATTCATATTTTATTTTATTCAGAATTTTAAAAATAATTTATATATTTTGAAATATAAAAATATATGTTTTGAACATTTTTACATGTTTTGAACAAAAATTCACCTTAAATATTTAAAAAATAAATTATCTAATTTGTATTAAATTTTTCTCAACCACAAAGCCAAGTCTTATCGCACGTTGCAAATTCTATTGTGTACTATTACTAGACACCTTAGACGTATAGTTAATCCACCCACTCGCAGAAATGGTGCAGGGTATTTAAGGAATCTACAAAAAAAGTGTGCATTGACTCAGAGTCAAGGGGCGAGCGGAGCTGAAACCAAAGGTGGAGGTGACGGGCAGCTGGCCAAAAAAAAAAAAAAAGAGGGAGAAGAGAAGCAAAATTGTGAATGGCCGCCCAATGCAATAAGCGCGAAAATGAGTGACGTACAAGCACCTCGGCCAAGCACCTCCGTGCCCCACCAGCCGCCGCCGCTGGGCAACCGGATGGGTTCCCTTGACAGGCGCAATAATTGTGCAGATTCTTTAGCTTTAGTTCTGTGGCTGAGTTTTTTTTTTTATCATTTCTCTCTGCCTGCTTTGACAGGGTGACACATTAATGTGCCAGCTAGCTCTGAGGCAGATGATGAACATGATAATCATCATCATCATCATGATGATGAGGGGGTATTCTATTTGGGCAGCGCCTGGCGCACGGGGCGTATGATTGACGCGCTTAATTAAAGAAGCCAGCGAATATAAAGCGCAGCGTTAATTAATTAAATTACAATTAATGCAGTTGCTGCTGCTGTTGTTGTTATTGCTGCTGTTGTTGTTGTTGTAGTGCTTATCATTATTTGCACTTTGCCAGGCCATAAATATATAGCTAGCATATATATGCGTACATATATATGTATATTTATTTATATACACAAATGTATATTATGTGCAGCTATCGCATTGCTCACAGCGCTAATTTCACAACTTATCAATCGTAGGCTGTTGAGGGCCGCGATATTTATAGCAGTCCCAAGAGGCCAGTCAATAGTCGGAGAATCGCAAAGAGATTCGCTCGATTTCACGTTTAACACAACTTTCGCCTCACCTCAAACACGACAAACATTTGACGCACACACACAATGACAATGCGAATCGTTTGTTTGCCGAGCGCTGAGAGAAAAACAACTGAATCACCTGTTAATTAATTGGGAACATTTTATATATATGTATGCCCATTGCATATAAATTCACTTTCATGCTAATTTTCAATGTCGAATCGATTTTTTTGGTATTTCGGGAGTTTTCTCTTATTTCAACAAATTATTGAAATTTCAATTATCAAAAGATGTCTTTTCCGTTCAGATCATCAGTTTTTTTAATAGAATAAAAAATTATGATTATATTCATCTTTTTCTTCAGATTCAACTCCTCAGAATTTCAAGTGAAACAACTGAGCTATAATACAAATTAATAGAATACAAAATTATAATTATCTTTATCCAGATCTGAACTGAACTGAACTGAACATTGTTATACAATACAAAATCTTGTTTATAGATATAGATATCTTTGACTTTCCATCACAAATTTCGCAACACTTTTATTTTTCACATGAAGAATTTGTTTAATTTGTTTTCTGTTGAATTCTCATTAAAATTCTTCAATGCAGAAGTGTATATACATTTATATAATACAATTCTGTTATTCTTCTTCTTTGGGAATAATTTAAACATTTAAAATTCAAGTGAAATTCCAATAATGTCATTATAAAATAGCTGCTGTTCGCTCAGTTTTCTAGATTTCCATTCCAAAAATATTTGCCACATACTGTTCGAAATGTCAGGTCCAATTAAAATTTCCGTAAAAATCCAAATTATAAAGAAAAACACAAACAAATTTTTCAAGTGGTCCTTACGTAAAATAAAAAGCAAATAATATGCCACACTTTGGCCGCACAAAGTAAACAATTAATCACGTAACCAAATACATGCGAAAAAAATATATATGAAAAATGAATAAAAATAAAAAATAACATTCTAAAGACAAAAGGCAGTCATGACAACGCCAACGCCAACGGCAACAGCAGCAGCCAATGCTAATGACGATGATGACCACTTGAGTTCCACGGAGTGGGTCTGGTCAAGTGTCGGGCTGTGGGTCGGTCGATCCCGGGTTCTGGGCTCTGTTGGTGGAGCAGGGCAACGAGGAAGCATCCAACGAAAACTGACAACATTTATTTGCCTCACGTTGCGGTGAATGTGGCATGGGCGGTCAATGGGTGTGGCATGGGGTGGCAGTCACACACCGGGCGTTGTGATTCCTGGACTTCTTTTATTTATTTATTTTTTCATAATCCGTACAAATTAGCGGGTGGAAAATTGTTGCTTGGCAACACTGAGAAATTATTTTTTGATCATTGCTAATGCGCAAATACTGGCTTTTGTTTGCTTCTTTTCATTTATTTTATTATTTTCCATTTACTAAGAAAAAAGTCCATCAGTAAATAAATAAAAAAAATACAATAAATTTTAAAATGATTTTAAAACAACAGTAAAAAATGAAGAACTTTATTTGAACCAATTGGTACTTTTCCGCGAACTACTTAAAGTACACATTGGTAAACTTAGTCTAGACACAAACCAAAATGTTAGCCGCTCTATGCTATTCGCCAAATGCTAATGTATTAGCTAATACAAACCTGTAATCGAATCAGCACATTAGCGCAGAGAGCACAGAACGAGGCCTATGTGCAAAGCATTTGCATTTTGTTTCGGGCGTTTGGGGCCACAGACAAAGCCAAGGCCAAGGCCGCAACATTTGCGAAATTTAATGAAAACGAAAACTTTCCACTAATGTCTAAATCAATTTTATTGCTTCTCTTTTATAGGCTTAGCCCAGGTGACTTACCAGATCATTGGGCCTCAGGTACAGCAACAACTAACGGCAGAGCCGCAGCAGCAACAGCCACAAGCAACAAGCACAACAGCAACATCAACAGCAGCAGCAACACGAACAGCAACAGCTACAACAACAGCAGCAATTCAGTTTGCAATCTGCCGCGCTCATCGCCGGCCGCTGCGACCGCAGCCGTTACAATCCCAGCCACTGGCGGTAGCGTGGTAACTGGCCCGGGCCCCGTCCCGGCACCGGTGGCGCAGCTGCAACACGGATTGGCGCCCAGCACGCCACTGCAGCGCGCGACGGCAGCGAGCGGAGGCGCTGGTATTGCCGGCGCATTGGGCGTTACAGGCGCCTCCCCCTCACCAGCAGCAGTTGCCGCTGCGGCAGCCGCAGCAGCAGCTGCCAACAATCTGCTCACCCTGCCGCAACAGCAGCAACAGCTCCTCTACCAGCAGCATCAGCAGCAACAGCACCATCACCAACACCAACAGCAACGCCAACAGCAGCAGCAGCTTAACTCCCATCATTCGCATCATAGCAAGGCAGCGGCTGCCGCCGCAACGGCGCATATTGCAGCTGCGCTGCAGCGATCGGCCGCCATTATGAATGCGGTGGCATCGCCGATTCCAGCCAACGCAGCGACGCCGGGTCGCAAGATACGCCGCAAAACGGATACAAAAATTAATTTGGTAAGTAATGAGACAAGATGACTACGATAAACTAAAGGCTAATTGTAAAGTCCCTTTTAATATCAAAGAGTTGAGCTTAAAGTTGCGTTTAATTTTGGAAAAAAAACTCGCGAAGGCTGAAAGAAAGCTTTAGGGTTCAATGTAGCTTAAACAATCCCCACAGCTGAAAGCAAGCTGTCGAGCTTTAAGTTGCGATCTTTCCAGCATCACAGTAAATAATAAAGTAAAATAAATAAAGTTCTATAGAACACAAGTCGGTGAAAAAAGCTTTAAGACTAATTAAAGTTTACATTAAACAAGCTTCACCGTTCAAAGCAGGCAGTGAAGCATAAAACTGCAATGAATCCAGCAGAACAGTCAAAAATTAAAAACTAGGGGGAATAAAAATAGATTTTAAGCTCAATAAAGCTTTAAAAATATGAATAAATGAGTTTATTCTATCTTAAAGCTTAAGCTTTTAAACTGGCAAAAGTATTTGGTCAAGTGTTGGAAAATGCGCTGTTGCGATTCTTAGCGATAAGGGCGAAGAAATTAAATAATTATTTAATATAGGCTTACAGTGATTATATTAATTAGCATATTTTTAAAGAGCTGTCAAGAGACTTCATGTGCTTTCATTTTTAATTTAAAATGTGCATAGAAAAATTGGGTGAAAAAACAAGAATAAAAATAAATTTATTTATTTGAAGAATTGATTAAGCTTTATGGCTCTTTGTTTAATATATATATATATATACGCTAGTCTTTGTGCAAAAGCAAATGAAATAAATTTATTTTAAAAAGCATTTTGTAATGCATATAAAAAGCTGTACATTAAGTAGCACGACGTTCCGAAAGCTTCTTTTTAGTGATATACAACACCAGTATTTTTGTATGAGCTTTAAAAGCTCGATTGAAGCTCGTACAAAACTTTAGCTTAAAAGATTAATCCTCAGCTGTTGTCAGAAATTAGCATGTTTGAAGAAATGCTATTAAATATATAATATTCACTTAATTATACATATTTTTACATTTATTTACTGATTTTCAAAAAATTAATTAAATACTTCTTGCAGCCCCAATCACAAATAAACAAATGCAACAATGAGAAACGCCGACGTGAAATGGAAAATAATTATATTGAGCAGCTCTCCGAGTTTCTGCAGCTCAATAAGCGTGGAGATATGACATCAACGAAACCGGATAAGGCGGCAATATTAAATCAAGTGGTTCGAACGGTAAGCGATACCCAAAAATTCTTAAATTTTCACCCATCTGTCTAATAAACCCAAACTAACAACATCTATCAATCAAAAAACTCATCAAATAAAACTAATAGACAGCTTGGTCGTGCGTGAACTCTGGGCCTCTGCCTGGAATAACTAATGATCAATTAATATAGTAATCCCCAATGTAATTTCCATGCAGTTTTTTCTATTTGGCGACACTCGCGCTTCAATTAAAAAGCAATTATTTTCAAACCGAAAGGAAGATTACAAAAATAAGCTAGAACAAGCATAAAAGCCGGCTGCCGGAGGACCCAAAGACACTTTTTTGACTGACGTAATCTCGCTCTGCAAGAATTTAATTAATATTTTTATTCAATTTACATAAATTTATTTATGTTTCCATTGACAGCGACACGCGGTTAGCAGCCAGCTTCAGTCTCGTCATGTTATTTTAGGCTTCGTTTTTTTTTTCACTTTTTTTTGAGTATTTCTTTTATTGGTTTCAGGTAGCCTAAGCACTTTATTATGCAAATTGTAAGCGCCACGCTTTGCCGAACTTCAAAAACAAAATTAAATTAAATGCGGCTGCGACAAAACCAAAAACCACAACAAAAACAACAACAACAACATTCAAAAGGCCCAACAACAAGCAAAATACATAAAACATAATTTTATTAAACCATGCTAAACATACTAAACAAAGGTTAATGCAATTAATATGGCTTAGTACAGCTCTATTCGGTTAGTTCTCCATTAGCGCTGTATTAGGGGTATTCTGTGTACAATTATAAAATAAATTCAATTAAATTCATGTATCGCTGGGTTGATTTATTGCCAATTGCTAATGAGGAACCAACAGTTATAGTCTAATTTGTATTACCAAGAGAGCCAAGCTAATAGATATTTTATTGATGAACTGAAGCAATTCAGAGCTTACATAAAAAGATGCAAAAAACTTAGTTATGGCATATGATATTGGATATATTTAAGTACAAATTATTTTCAACAGGTCAGTTACATACATAATACATTTAATGGGTTATTCATTACCCTTAACTCCTTTAACAGTACTGGCTTAATTTACCATGCATTTAGATTTTATTTTAAAGCTCATAGGTATATATGTATATATACTCCAATGCAAACTTGCCGGCAAACTGACAACTGACAACAAATTCTTAGATACCTAAACCTCCACCGAAAGCTTAAGCAGAGCTGCCCATAGTCCGTTTTTTTTGTTGCTGCTATTTTGTTTTGCTCTTCTTTTCAAAACTTCGCCGCCGGCCTGCCATCGACTTGATTTCGGCTTGAAACAGTGTGGAAAGCAGAAGCTTTGCGCGCCTGGCTCAGTCGCTTGAACTGCCGAGGCTCTCGCTCAGCGGCGCATTTCTACTCAGCAGCTTTAGAGTCTGAGCGTAAATATTTGAGTGCGAGTGCGAAAAGCTAGCGCATGAGAATCGAACTTATTTTTGGCAGCACATTTTTTTTGCGCTCATTTTAAATTTTAGTGCGTCACCTACGACCTTATAGAAATTACTCGGAAACGTAGACAATTAAAGTTTAAGCAAGAGAGAGAAATATGAAATTTGCTAGAGTCTAGGAGATATTAAATACCCTAATAACAGAGGGAAATGTTTCATGAACTGCTTTTCAGAAACCTATGAAGATCGATCTAGAATATTTAACCAACACAAATAAAATTGAATCCAGTATTAAAAAAAGATCAACTAAAAAAGATCTGCTTAAATTGCGTGAATTTTTTCAGATCTATTATTAAGGAAAAAAGTCTGTTCATTAATTGCGACCGCTGTGGATTGCGACCGCTGTGACAGTTCATCCACTACTTTATTATAAGCCCAACATCACATTGTTTTTCAGGTCGCAGATAATACTTACCCCTTTTTGTTATTGTGCGGGGATCTGTTTCAGTTTTCGGCTGGCTTTTTGTTGTCGTTGTTGTTGTATGCGTTGCTTTGCATCTGCGTTTTTCAAAAAGCTCTCGTATAATTCGCACATTACCTGATGCGATCAGTTGAAGCTACAGGCCAAAGCCCGCAACAAAAAAAAAAACACTCACACAAACGCACACATTGAGAACAAAAAGTCCAGACACGTTTTAGACATATTCGTCATTGCATGCCCCGATTCGTGTTGTTGTTGTTTATTTTATCATTTGACTGATATATTCGGAGTGCCTTCACCCCAAAAAAAAATGTTGTGTGCCCGTTGCTTGAGCAACTTTTCCTGGTTGGCTGGCGCACATACTATACATATGCTTGCACACACACGCACACACAATTATACTCACTGACACAGATGTGAGCTTCCTTCCAAACAAAAAGAAGTAAAAGCTCGCTCTGCGCTCTCGCGATTGCACTGGCAGATCAACGAACTGCGTTTGCTTTTTGGCGATGACGTCGCACATCGCAATTTCATATTTTGTTGTTATTATTTACGTGCAGCAGTAACAGCAGCAGCACCAGCGGCAGCTTCTTCGACGCCCTCTCACACAAGGTGCAAAGGCAATGGGTGATAACAATGCACACACATACACATTCTCGCACAAACACATCTACGCATACGTATCACACGTGAGCCGGTAAACAAACGGCAGGAGAGCAACACTAGAGTATATCGCGAGAGCGCCAGAAAGAGAGCAACGCTTCGTCAGCCTTTGCCTTCTTTGTTGTTGTATTCGTGTATTTTTCGCCGTGTTTTCGGGTTTCTTCTTTTTTAATACAATAATACAATTGCATCAAAAAATGTGTGTTTAGTATTTCGGCAACTTTGTGACAGTGCTGAGTGTGCGCAACGATTCTGTGATTTTTTTAATTGCTGCTTTTTTGTCAGCAGCATTTTAACAGTGAGTAATTTTAAAGCGAAAACTATTTAGTGCCACACATACATATACATACATGTATGTGCATATGCTAATGCAATACAACAGAAAAAAATAAATAAAGAAAACAAAAGTGAGTGATGGAGCGAGCCATTGACACGTTGAGAACATGCGCCTTCAAGTTGATTGACCTTGAGAATGTTGTGGAAATTGTGAAATTCTTGTGTCTGAACTACGTCTTAAAACTTTTCAAATCAAAAAATAATATTGAAAAATAATTTTTTGTTGTGTTTTCATTGAAGTTCTCTTGTTGAGTTTTGTTGTGCTTGTGCTGTGCGTGCAGTCGCGCTTATATGTGCGTGTGTGTGTGTATGTGTGTGCGTGTTTTGCTTGTGTCAATGACTCAAAGCTCAAACGCGCGCGCAAAATTTGCTTGGTGGAGTAAAAATATAACACGCACACATACACACGCAAATACACACTCACACTCAAAAGAAATGGGATGAAATGCGGTTTATTGCACTTCATTGTGTAAACACACACACACACACACGCACACACAATGAGCGAAACGCCGACGCACGATATTCAACGCGAGCTTTTTGCTCTTTTCCTAGCACCCGCAAAAGCTTGGCAAAAACAATAACAATGGCAAACAACGATGTCGATCGCGAAGCCAGCTACAATAATTATTATGAGTGAAGCCCAATGTTGTATTCTGTTTTTTGGTTTTGTTTATGTGTAGTACATAAAATGAGCTTTATCGAGATCACTTCCGCATGTCAGAACTTTTTCGACATAGAGTTGCAAACGTGATGTGTTAATGTGTGATATTTAAATGTATGCATGAAGATGTTAAATATACAAAGGTGTTCATAAATACATACTATGCATACAATAAACGTATATAATATATACTCGCGCAATCTACGCTGTATCATATTATTATATTATCTTTTACTTTTTAAGTGAACTCTATATATGGATCATTTAGCTTCTTCGAAAACGCGGGGGATATATGTTTTATATACGCAATATCTTAAAACATGCAGCTTTTATTTCTAATAACTTCTAATTAGAAAAATATTCGGTTACAATCTAATTTTAAAACGCCCCTCACTCTATACTATGAATTTTCCGTATATTAATGAATAACATATTTGATTAGTGTAAGTGAATAAAAATCATTTGAGCCACTTTCACCAGATAAAAACCAGTCGTGACAGATAATTAAATTCCATACTAACAATTGCGAAAAATAATGAGAAGCTAATCATAACCATTTTCAAATCACTTTAATTAATAATTTGTGAGCAATCCTTTTTAATCGATTTCTAAATTTTTTTTATTTTTCCTTTGCAGTATCGTGATATTTGTGACAAAGGCCAAAGCCGTGATATATCCTCAACATCTACCAATAATAACAATAATAACAACAACTCCACAACAACGACCAACAACAACAACAATAATAATAACAATAACAACAATAATAACAACAACAATAGCCACAAACCGCAAGCAACCTCAACGCGCTGCACCCGCTGTGCCACCGACAACTGCTCGATACACCCTGTGCAACAGGGTGAAGTCTCCTCAACGGAACCACCATTGCCAGAGCCATCGCTGCTGAACGGTCAAGTGCCTGAAATATCCGCTTACTTCGAAGCACTCGAGCACTATATCAGCTCGGTGGGTTGGGTCCTGCTGCAGGTGAACGCGAACGGCATCATTGAGTCCTGCACGCAGAACATACGCGAACTGATCGGCTATGAGAAGCAGGAGCTCTTCCACCAGCCGCTCTATATGTACCTCTATGCGGGGGATCACGCCAAACTGGAGCCGATCATAAACAACATGTACAGCAGCAGCGGCAGCACCGGACCAGGCGGTGGAGGAGCAGGAGGTGTTGGAGGTGGTGCAGGTGGTGGTGGTGGTGGTGGAGGAGGCAACGGATCAGGCGCTGGCTCGGCTGGCGGGTGGGGCGATCTCGATGAGCTGAACAATGGCAATGCCTCACAGCAATCGGCTGGCTCCAATTCCAGTTCCAGTGCTGGCAATAGCGCCGGAGGTGCAAGTAAATCCAAACGCAGCATTTCCACCAAGGTGCGCATGCTAGTCAAGGACACACGCCCGGCCACACAGACCTCCTCCAATTGCGATGCCATGGACCAGAAGCCGCTCAGGCAGTCCGGACACCAGGACAAGTATGAAGAGGTCGTGTTGATAGCGGCGCCAGTAAAGGGTGAGTCCACGAACTATCCCAACTAGAAAGGGTTTTGGTTTTGAGATAGAGAATTCAAAGGGAAGATCCCCAAATAGATGCATCAAAATAAGCTGAAAGTTATGCGAATTTTTCAAGAGTTTTTTAATAGAATATTTAAACATATTTTTAGAAAAGTTTGAAAATAAAGGGTAATTAGAAAATATGTATTGCTAAACTTTTAAATATGATATCGTTCTTCTCAGATAATATAATCGATCTTCCACAGGCGAGTTTCAGGTTTTTCATATATTATTTTGGCCTCCCTTACCTTAAAATGAATGCATAAAATATGTATATTATGTACAAATTAGAAAAGAAACAAATTATACTAGGCATAATTGATTTTTTACGAACTTTCTGTTGACAGTATTAGAGAATTTAAATATACATGGCATACTGTGGAAAACAAACATATAATCTTATAGACTGTACTTAAGGTTTTGAACAAAAACTGTTTATACTGAACATAATATTAAAGTTGTCAGATTTTGTATGAAAGTACTGGGGGTTCTTATCTTCCAAAACATTATCGACTGTTTTATGAGAGTAACCCGATGATAAGAAATTTGAAAAATTCTACAAGAAATAGCAACATATTAACTAGAAACCAGAACGAAGCGCATTTCAAAACCGTTTTAGTTAATCAATCAACAAAGAAAGAAAGAATAGAATAATGTCGTTCGGTTCGTTTCATAAATCCCGCCGCAATTCCTGGACACAATTCATTAACCGATCCTCCGCTTGCAGATGACGCCGATGCGAGCAGCTCGGTGCTGTGCTTGATCACACGACCGGAGGATGAGTCGCCGCTGGAGATCAATATGCAGCAGCATGTGCATCAGCAGCCCATCGAGCAGATGACCTTCAAGCTGGACGCACATGGCAAAATACTCAGCCTGGATGCGACGGCGCTGCGTGAGCCGTTTAAGCAGCATCTGCAGACGTGGGTGGGCCGCCTGTGGCAGGATCTGTGCCATCCGCACGATCTGTCCACGCTCAAGGCTCATCTGCGCGATATACAAGAATCGATTTCCGCGCATTCACCTGGCAGCTCTGGCGGTGGTCCAACTAATGCTGGCTCCATATCGAATGTTATATCACGTCCATTTCGCCTGCGCCTCGGCGCACCCGATGTCTATGTCCATGTGAAGGCCAATTCTAGACTGTTCCTCAACCAGACGCCCGGCGAGAGCGACTTTATAATGTCCGTGCAGACGCTGCTCAACTCCGAGAACGATATGAATTGCAACAATACGGGCTCGGGCTCCGGCTCCGGCTCGGCAGCTGGCGTCGGCGTCGGCGTCGGCGTAGGCGTGGGCGTGGGCGGTGGCTTGGGCTTGAGCCAAATGTGCGCCATGTCGCCGGGCGCCTCGTTGGCCAGCTCGCTGGTCAACACGCTCTCCATGGAGGCGCTGGGGCACAGCTCGTCCACATCCTCCTCGGTGGCGCAAACGCTGCTGCCGACACATCTGCTCGGCGGGCTCGTTGGCGGCGGACCGCACAACAACAGCGGCAGCGGCAGCAGCAGCAGCAGCGGCAGCAACAACAGCACACAAACCACAAATGTGGGTGGACCGCTCATGAGCTCGGCCATCATCAATGGCAGCGGCATGCAACAGCGTCTGGGCAATGCCGGCGGCTCCTCGGCCAACTCCTCGGCGGCGACGCTGGTCAATGCGTTCACCGCCTCGCCGGCGCCCGGAGAGCATTTCTCGTATGGCAGCGATGCGTTTGAGTTTGATATTGCACATTCCTCGTTCGACATTGATCCCAGCGGTGGCGTCGGCGCCTGGACCGATTCGCGGCCCAATTCGCGCGCTTCCGTTGCGACGCCTGTCAGCACGCCGCGTCCGCCCTCGGGGCATGGCTTTAGTCCGGCGGTGTGCGCCTCCCCGGCCACGCCCTATCAATTGTCCTCGCACTCAGCTGCGAGTTTGCCCTCGCCGCAGTCAAATGCCAGCGCCGGCGCCGGCGGCAGCTACGGTTTCAATTTTCACTCCTACGATCCGGCGGACACCAAGCCAGACAAAGAGCTACAGCAACAGCAACAACAACAACAACAACAACAGCAGCAAAGCAACAACAATGGCAACAACAACAACAATGCGCTTATGGGCGGCGGTCTGCCAAATGGCGTCGGCGGCTTGCTGCTCAGCCAGCAGCATCAACAACAACAACAACAGCAACAACAACAACAACAGACGCCACCACTGCAGGAATCGTCGGAGCGACTGCGTCATCTGCTGACCAAATCGCAGAGCCTGGCCAGCGGCCTGGGCGGCGCTGGTCTGGGGGATGAGGAGAAGGTAAGTCGCTCAATCTCTAGTTGATTGAATTTTGAGTAATTACATTTTTTTGTTAATTATTAAATTGACATTTAAGCATTTGAGCTTACTTTGTGCTTAGTTCCTGCAACTAGTTCTTTTTACTAATTATCAATAGAAGTTCAATTTTGATGAACCAGTTGTTACTAGTTCCTGTCTGTAAATGCTCAAATTATGAGAGCAGACTAAAGTGTTTTCGACTTTTCGTCCGTCCGACTTTCAATAAAGAAAAAATATAAAGGGTCGAAGATATTGGTCATTCCATTACCAACATCTTGGATATTTAATATTTGTTCCAAAAATCGAGCAAACAGGTTTCGTGGCCTTATTAGAGCTTGAGTTGGGATTTGTGAAGTTAACACTTAATTATATTTTAAAGAAAACTTATATAAATCTAGATGGTAGATGGAATCTTTGGTTTTTCAATTTTCATCACTTTTATGATAAACTGACCGTGTTTAAATTTTTTCTTTAATTTTCCCATAAAAAACAACAGCCTAAAATAAGACTCGAAGAACTTTTTTAAACTGGTTCCGACTTAACTCGCTGGGACTAGCATTTTTTTTAAACTAGTTCCGAAACATTTAAAGTTGATTCCATTATCAACTTCCAGATTCTATTAGAAGCTAGTTTATAAGCCTACTTTATATTATTATTATCGATAATATATATTTAGCTAGCAGCAGTTAATGGAACTAGTTCACTTAAGAATAACTGAAATACCTAGCAATATTTGATTGCCTTGTTGTGCTACTAAAAATGTTTTTATTGAATTGCTTGCAGTACTTTAAGCAGGAGTGCAGCGAGGATGAGAAGCTCAATGTCGGGCCAATTGGCGGTCCAGCGGGCAGCTTCAAAATGGGCGGCCAGCCGAGTCAGATGGGCTTGTTTCCACCAATTGGACGCGGTGGCGCAAGTGCCGCACTGTTGCAAAAGGCGGGTAACTCCCAGAATCCCATGCTGCTCAAGGTGAGTGAACAGTTGTTGTTGCCAGAAATGATTCTGAACCAATTTCGGAATTCGTTGCAGCTGCTCAACGAGAAGAGCGAGGAGGATGATGGCAGCAGTGGTACAGGCCCCGGTGGCCCCGGTGTCCTTAGCAATACGCGGCAGAGCGAGCTAATGCGTCAGCTGCAGAAGGATGACGGTGGCAGCCATGGTCCTGGTCACGGCATGCTGGGCGGCAGCGGTGCCGGCGGTGGCGGCAACATGAGCAACGAGGATCTCAAGCGCATGCTAAAAATCCAAAGCGATCCGGCCATGAGTCGCAAGCGTTCGCTCAACGAGCCCGACGACGACATCTCGGCCAAGCGTTCCGAGGATAAGCCCAGCAAGCTGTGCAGCCAAAACAAGATGCTCGCGAAGCTGCTCCAGAATCCGCCAAAGTTACCCAAGGCGCCCAATCCAGAGCAGCCGTTAGTGAAAACCCTGCCGGACATAACCAGCTCCACGGTGAACAATGTGAGCAGCTCGCTGGCGGCGCCGGGCAACCTCATTAGCGCCGGCAGCACCGGACCCAAGGCGGCGGCGGCAGCCAATAGTCGGGCGCGTAAGTTGCAGCAGCAGCAACAGCAGCAACAGCAGCAGCAACAGCAGCAGCAACAGCAACAGCAGCAACAACAGCAACAGCAGCAGCAACAGCAACAGCAGCACCAACAACAGCAGCAGCAGCAGCAGCAGCAGCAGCAACAACAACAACAACAACAGCAGCAGCAGCAACAGCAGCAGCAGCAGCAGCACCAGCAACAGTCAACGCCACAGCAAAACGATGTCTACCTCAGCCAGCAGCAGCTTGCATACCAGCAGCAACAGCAGCAACAGCAGCAGCAGCAGCAACAGCTGGCGACCACAGCAACTACCTCACTTACCACAGCGGCCTCAACGTCAGCGGCTGCGGGGCCCGATACGGAGCTGTCCAAGCTGCTGGACAGCGTTATGGACTATTATACGGATGACACGCCCATTGTGCCCGCAGCTCCATCAGAGGCTTCAGCCATCAATGACATACAAAAGTCGTTGATGCTCGATGTAGAAATTGCCACGTTTGGCGGCATAAATCCGCATTTGCTCATGTCACAGCAGCAACAGCAACAGTTGCTAGTACAGCAGCAACAGCAGCAGCAGCAACAACAGCAGCAGCAGCAACAACAGCAGCAGCAACGCCAGCAACATTTGCAGCCGCCTGCCTATCCGGGCATGTTAAGTCTGCAGCAACAGCATCAACAGCAGCAGCAGCAGCAGCAACAACAACAGCAGCAGCAGCAACAGAACCAGCAGCAGCACTTGCTGCGCCAACAACAGCAACAGTTGCTGGAGGCCATGCGCAATCAGCCCTTTCAACGCCCACCGCCCATGTATCCGGTGCGCGGTCGCGGTCCCATGAATGCCGTTGCCACGCCCGGCGGCGGCGTTGTGCTGCCCAATCAACAGATGCGCAACATGCGCCAGCAACAGCAGCAGCAAAAGGAGCGACTGCTGCAGCAGCAACAAAAGCAACAGTTGCTGGTGCCCGAAAATGCCAGTGAGTAATTAAAAAAGAACTAGATGTTGAGTGCATATATTTAAGAGTTTGGGATAACCACCTTTCGGCTTCTGCTTTAAATATTTTGCCAAGAAGTTGTCAATATCATAGAAAGAATCAGTCGAAATAAAACTTATAAGCCATGCCAGAGATAGTCTTTCTTAAATTTTAATTTCTATTTCTTTCAGCTGGCATCAATGCGGGCATCAATAATATTGGCTCATTGATGAACACAACTGTGGCGCCTAATGTGTCGCTCTCCAGGACCAATCTGCCAGCGGATGCGCAACTGAGTCCCAACTTTGCGCAGACCCTGATGCAGCAGCAGCTCAGCCCCGGACGCAGTGCACCCTACAGTCCGCAGCCAAATCAAGGTGGGTAACTCAACGCGAATCACTCGGATAACCCCCTATTAAATGCCAATTCCTTGCTTTACACAGGCTATGCGCCGCAGTTTGCTCAAAATGCACAGCGTCTGTCGCCGCTGCAGCAGCAGCAGCAGAATCCTCAGCAGCAGCAGCAACAGTTGGCGTACCTGCAACAGCAGCAACAGCAGCAGCAGCAACAGCAGCAACAGGCGGGCGATGGCGGACGCTCCAATACGCCGTTTGGCAGTGGATCCGGCCTGCAATCGCCTGGCATGCAGAACAGTCCACAGCAATGGCCGACAGGTGGCGGCAACGCGGGAGCTGGTGGTGGTGGTGGTGCAGGTGGTGCTGTTGGCGGACCGGGTGGACCGCTGCCTGCCGGCAATGCCGGACGCTCACTGCAGCAGCACAATAATCCCTTGCTCATTGCGCAGCTGCAGGTGAGTAGCAAAGAGTTTGCGCTGCCCAATGAAGCACCACTAATGTCCTTCCGTGATGTCCAGAGCAACTACAATGCGCGTCAGTATCAGCAGCAGAGCCAGCAGCGACGCGGCCTCAACTCACCCGGCGCCGTTGGACCTGTCGGCGTCGGCGTCGGCGTCGGCAACAGTGCCGCAGCGGCGGCGGCGGCGGCGCTGCTGCAGCGGCAGAACTCCTTCCAGGCTCAAGGCGGCGGCGGTGCGACCACGCCCGATGGCAGCAGTGGACCAGGCGGCGTTGGCCTGGGCGTCAGCTTTGGCGGCCCGCAGTCACCCTACGGCGGCAGCGCAGCGGCCAATGTGTTCCAGCAACAGCAGCTGCAGCGCCTGCAGCGGCAGAGCAGCGTGCCGCAGGCGACGCAACATTTGCCAGGTGAGTAACGTCCCCTACCATGGAGCGTGTCCTGTGGCAGCCGGAATCCAGCCGGAGTCTGCGTGTCAGATGAATGCCGTCTTCAAAACTTAGGCTTAGTTTTAGTGATTCTCCCCTTGCGCCTCTGAAGAGTACCTAACTGAAATCAGTTCAAAAGTTTTTCTACTGAAACTTGTTTCAAATGTAGGCGGAACTAGTTAACTAAAACGCGCTGACTGATTTTCTGCTGGAACTGGAATTAAATTAAAGTGGAACCAGTTCAAAAGCTATGCGAAAATAGTGTCAATTGTATGTATGAAAAACATAAACTGTTTTAAAAAAAAAAAGGTGGAACTTGTTCTCAAAATGAACAAACATTTTTAAAATATATTGTTTAATATTGGATCCCTTGCTGCAACAGTTATTACTTTTAATAATTGTTATTGATAAGTAATGCCTAGTTTTAAATATAACCAAAATTTAAATTAAAATAGACTCAAAATGAACTCGACGCTAGTTCCAGCTTAGTTTTAAAATTATGTAACTAACTATGAACTAACTCAAGCTGAGCTAGTTCCAACTTTACATAAATACTCAAGAGTGTCACTAAAATGGCGCACTACTTTTAACTATACCTTATAAACCAAAAGAGCCAGTTCCACATAAGAAAGAGCTAGTTCCACTTAAGAAACGAACTAGTTCCAGCTCCACACGATTGTAACCCGAAAACGCGCTGAGCATACAATTACTTAGATCCCATGCAGCGTGAACCAGTTCACAACATGCCGCTTACCCTAATTACTGTACTAAATATCAATACATAAACAGCTTCACACACATACACACGCATACCAACACCGTTTCACACACCCCTACACACACACACACACACACACACACACACACACACACATACACGCAGACATTGTTAATATTTGACTAGTTTTTAACCAAAGCCAAACAAATCAAACGCTTAACCGAAACAGGCTCAACGCGTTTCGGTTTGTCGCCTGGCAACAACAACAACAACAGCGGCAACAACCACAACAATCACAATGATAGTGCAGCTGCCGCCGCTAGTCAACAGCAGCAGCAACAACAACAGCAGCAACAGCAGCAACAACAACAACAACAACACCAACACCAACACCAGCAGCAACAACAACAGCAGCAGCAACAGCTGATGAACGGCATGAGCATGTCCCCCCATCCGGCCATGATGGGCGTGGGCGGCATGGGCAGCGGCGGTGGCAACGGCATCATAGGGCTGGGCGGTGGCGGCGGCGGCGGCAGCGGCGGCGGCGGCGGCTATGCAGCCCTCGCTGCCTATGGTCAGGCGCAGCAGGCGAATGATTTCTATGGTCGAGCGCAGACCGGTAAGCCGTGTGCTCACACTTGAACTCTCTCTCTCTCTCTCACTCTCTCTCTCTATATATATATAAATATATATCTCTCTGCTCGCTCTCATGCGCTCGCTGTAATCACATGTCATGCCCTACATACATATATATTGTGTACATATATGTGTTTATGTATATACATGCATATGCATATCAAAAATTCGTGCTAATCATTGTGTATATATAAATAAGCAAATTTAATTACCCAAAAGCGATCCACACATTTTGTACAAAAAAACAAATCCTTGGGACTCCCCGAACACACATCAATTGCCTAACCACATTTGCGTGTTTTGTATAATCGTATAACTGTGCCACATATATCTGATCTTGTATATAACCTAGGTATATTTGAATATAAGTATTAAACGGCTAGTTTTTAGGCGCTGCACCCACCCACTGTATTAACCCATGTAAAGACTTTAGATATAGCTGAGACCCTAGAACCGAATCGACAAAAACGTATATAATCACTATGATAATTGGGGAACGTATGTATTTATATGTATTGTTTATGTTTAGTTTAAGTTTTGGCTTAATTTTTTTATAATATGAACTATTCACATGGCCATATAATGGAGTGAGTGCTTTGAAATGAAAGGATTCAGCCAAGTCACGATTGAAGTATAAACTAAATATTTAAATAAATATATAAAATGATTTAAATATTTAAATAAAAAATCTTGATTAAATAACAACATTTTAAATGACAAGAATTCTATTTACGCTGAATAATTAAAGTATAGTTTATGCAAAATACTCACAAAAAAAAAAGTCCAAGTGAATAATTCATGTAATTATGATTAATTTGAAATTATTATATGTTTACTTTTTAAAATAAGCCACCCGCCTATATATATCCCTTATTTGCAACCTTACCCCCAAACCAACCAGCCAGATTCAACATTTAAGTGTGTGTCGTATACTTTATTATATATTTAATATATTATTTATATGTTGTATTCTGTTGTCTGTTGTGTATTTATTTATGTTATACGTCTAGCTAAGTTCAACTATAATTGTGACTAAAAATCATTTATTTTGTTGTGGGTTGAAATATGCGTTGGCTAATTGACTAATTGTAGACTCGACTAATCCTTGGTATTTCTTCAATTCTTGCAGCTGGCAACGGCGGCGGCGTAGCTGGCGGCAATGCCAATTCGGAGTTTGTCAAGCAGGAGCTGCGCGCGGTGGTCAGCGTGCGGGCCCAGCAGGCGGCTGCGGCAGCCACGGGCGGTGTTGTGGGCGTTGGCGGCGCGGGCGTGGCACAACGGGGTCAGACACCGCAGAGTCCGCTGCAGCAGGGACCAATGATTGGCGGCGGCAATAGTACAAATTCCATGGGCAATGTCACGCCCACTGGCAGCGGCAGCAGCGGTAATCCAATGCTCAACACACCGCCAGATCCAACGCTGGGCTTTAGCTTCGAGACGCGTGAGTATACATATATATACATATAACTATGCTCCCAAGCTAAATTGTCATTCTTTTTCCCCACACAGCGGACTTCTTTACAAGCAGCGCCACGAGGTGACCCTAAGGAGCCTGAGCAAAACCCAAGGACTCAAGAACAACAACTGCTAAACAACATCAATGACAATTCATGTTCTTCAAACGCATTTAAGGCTCTCAGAACGTTTTTCCTTTGAAAATTAAAAAACAAAAACTAAATAAATGAAATGAAAGTCGCAGCATTTCTGTTAAAACAAAAACAAAACCAGGCTTGAAACAAATTTTCAACAAAAGCGAACGAACGTCTAGAAATGTGTAAAATGTATATGTCAAATTTAAATTATATTAGCAGCACTATACAATAAGCCAAAACGTTAAAAACAAATATATATGTATATATACATAAATATATTTATTATTAACACTAGCAAATATTAATTGTAATGCATAAAAAATGGGAACCTCGTCTAAAAAAATAACAAAAAAAGAAACAAAAAGAAAATTATTAAATAACAAGCTATAGTTAAATATTTTGAAAAGCTGCTAAAAAATATACAAAAAAACACGAAAAAAAAAAATATTTATTACGTTTAAACATAAAGATTAGACTAAGATGCTATATATACAAAAACACACACATACATATATGCACATGCATATGTATATGTATGTATATATTTATATATATATAAGAAACTGCATGTTAATATTGCGGCTGGCGCAACGTTTCGAGCTGTTGTTTATTATGGAAATATGTATAACACTAAAGATCTAAAAAAAAACAAAACAAAATACAAGCGAGATCGGCTTTAAATTATAACGGCATTAGTGTTACGTTTAATTAAAATAATTAACAAAATGAAAAACGTATACAATTTGAACGAACTATATAAGCATATAACACACACACAGATTTATACGTATGTATATATACATATACATATGCCAAATGTTCATATATATGTATATGTATACATATTTAAAATTAGTGTTGAATTTTTTTCAGTGTGATAATTTGTTAAATTTTATAATATACTAATGTTGCTTATTTGTTGCTATAGATCGTCTCCCTAGACATATTTCTATACGATTTTTATTATATTCAATTCCCAAACGTATACGTTTCTATCCTTTTTATACATACATCCATATCATTTTAAGCGATTGCTTTATGAACAACTATTTGGCGTACTAAATCAATTTTTATACAACTACAATTTGATAAACAAAACAAAAAACATTTGCTTAGTTATATGTATGTATATTTGTTATGCTATTTGATTTTGAGTAACTGTGTAACTGGAATTGTACATATAATTTTCACTATTACATACACATATTATTATTTACGAAATTGTAATTCATAATTTAGTTAATGCTTTAAACGTAATTAATTATTTTTATAATTTTTAACAAGCAAATAGAAAAGCGCGCGAACTGCACAAAAGTCGTCGTTGCAATTCAATGTGAAGGCTATTTTACAGGTTTTTTGTTTAAACTAATTTGTAACAACGTTTTATCGATAACACAATATTTCTTTTATATATACATTTTATGTAGCATATCACAATTACTTCAACTTTACTGAGAAATCTTTTAAATGTTTCTCCTTTTTATATTGTGTAATTATTTTTTATCATTGATTTTTTGATTTTGTTCACGCAAACGCATCTGTAAACTGTAATCTGTAGTTGGGTTCAATCGTTATAAATATTATTTTTTAAAACAAAGCTATACAAATATTATGGTACATATATATATAAAAATATTTTAAATTTAGTTTTTTAATTTTATTAAATATGTTTAAAATGCAACAAAGCCTAAATAAAAATTTATATACAATATATAAAAGTAAAATATGGGGTAAGTGGTTTTGTTTTTCATTTATTTCCTTTGCTTTATGCTTTAACAAATTATGATGCTGAGAAAAGAACAACGACAACAACGATAAAAATTATTATGAAATAATGAAGTGTATACACAAATGGCGATATTAACACTTGGGAAAATAGAAATACCTCTCGTTAAGTTCAAAAAAAACCTATAATAAACATACAAATTTATATATAAACTCTTAACAATAAAATAAAAAACTAAATAAAAAGACAAAACATAAATAAATGCCAGTTACCACACAAAATTATAATACTAACAATATAATTGAACATTAATAACAATATGTATTTATTTGTACATATAAGTATTTGAATGCTAATCGCAAGTTTCACATAAATTAATTTAAGTAATTTAAGTAATTACATTTTTGAGACAGCGTTAGTTAAAATTCGTTTTTTTTTAAGAGGCTACATTTAATGCAATTAAATTAAAATCATAAAAGAAGTGCTATATATACGACATGCCGACGATTAAATACCCTTGCAGATATGTTAAATTAAAATATTTATTTTATGTCTATCTTAACCCATTTTATCTAATATCTATCAAATTTCAGTTTTGATAGACGTATGGTGTTGATGGGAAGAGTAAAATACTTTCTGCAAGGGTATTACCAAAAGTAAATAGATATTGTCGAAAGCCAAGTTTCAGCTTTGCTCTTGGTTCTCACGTAGCTTTGATTTATACTGAATAGGACCTCAACCAAAACAAGAAATGAATATACACAAGTATACTGCATTTAGTATAGGTTTGAATGATTAACAAGTACATTGCATACGTATAAATATATATATTTATATAGTTAAGTGACTTGGCAAAAGATTCTAGCAAATTTCACACACACAGCAACACAAAAAGTACATATAAAGTGCATTAATGAATTTAAGCATTTAATGAAATTAATTAATTTATAAGCATATAAAAATATATATTAAATTACCAAAATAGTTATACATGCATATATATATTGAACAAAAAAATATTTACAAAAAAACAAGAAAAAAAAAACAAAAAAACAAATTACCATAAACTTTCGTATTCATAACAAGAATTAATTTCATAAATTTATTACAACACTAAAGCTAGCTACGAATTATACAGCAAAAAAAAAACTTAAATATTACTAACATTTAACAGTTTCCATTTTGATACATACATACATATTATACATATATATTTAATTAGTTACAAGCACATCTATAAATAAGTTATTACTAATTAATTGTATATATGCATTCAACTTTTTAATAATTCCATTCAGTTTTTATATATATATATTTTTACTGTATATACTCGTATTCTCTTTATGCAACCTAGTACCATAAATTTGTACCAAATTAAAAAAATACATAAAACGTGAAACCATAAAACGAAAAAATATGAAGAAAAAAATACAAAATGCAACGCCCTGTACCCGTGCATAAGCCTACAAAACAAATTGTTAAGAAACAAAAAAAATATTACAAAAATATAAAATGAACAAAAAAAAATACTATTTACTAATTACAAAGAAGCCCTGAACCGTAATAAGTAGTGCCCAAAAGAACTAATACAAAAATACAAAAACAAATATATATTAATTAGCATTTAAACAACGTTATAACGAATTCTAAAACAACAGCCTAAGCAAATAGTTATTTGTAAAACAAAAATAGTAAAAAGACAAAAAAACTCATAGCACAATTTTGTATAAACAACAAATTCATAATAACCATACAAAACTTTCAATACAAAGATTACAACTTTATACACAAGGCTTACAAGAGTATAGACTCATGATAGAACACACACACACACACGCGGGAATACTTAGGAACCATTTCACAGTTACGATAAAAAGTATAGCAACACCTTTACCAAATTTTGTACATCATTTTACAGTTATTATGTCTGCTGCTGTACATAGTATATAGAGATATTGCATGAAATTCTGTATCGGGAAAAGCTGGGAGGATCTATTGTTGATTGGCTGTGTTAAACAAAAAAAAAAAATGAAAAGATGACCGAACAAAACTGATGAAGAAATAGTCCAACAGGATAACCAAAAAATGAAAGCAAAACAAAAATTTGTGGTATCGATCGAGTTTTAGTACGGTTGAGAATGGGATTAGCGTAGTTAGACGCGTTCGGGGAACGCCTAGTTAACTGATTTACGACGTTAGGTTAGTTTCGGTAGGCATTGGATAAGAGAAATACGTACATGGGAATGAAATTAGTTTTATTTCGAGCAAACTTCAGTTCAAATCATTCACATATGCATCTAATTTCTAAGTATTGACATGTTTCGTAACACTTAGGCACATATTTATACGCTATTGTTTCCTGTTTCCCTATGTTGTCGGACCCAAACTGGAACCAAATGGTTTTTAAAATTGCGGATTAAATATGGATATCGAAAGACTTATTTTGTTAGGAGCATAATTAACAATGTAAGGAATCGTTTTAAAGGCATTCGATTGGGCGCATATTTATTTAATTCAGTATATTAAATTGGCTACACTTAGGATATACGAAACACACCCAAAACATGAACCCAAATACAAGCCACATAAATGTTACAAACAAAAAATGAAAGAATTAAACTAAATGTTATATTGTGTTGTTGTCACTGTCGCAGTCACTGTTTATATGTTGTCTATGTCTCTCTCTCTCTTAAAAACTACTAAGAAATGATAATTCAGACATATTTTGTGTAAGTCTATGTACCTTTTTGCTATATATTATATTTCTATGTACGACTCTCACCCTCTCACAAACACACTCACACACACACACACAGTTGCATAGTATATAAAGTTTCACATAACATAAACAAAATTTCAACACTTGACAAAACATTTGTTATGCAAAACAACGTACATAAGTAATTCATGAAATGATTAATTTCTAAAGTAATTAATTAATAACATGCATGTGTAAATGTAATTTTCGTATAAAGAACAAGCGAAATTCAAAGAGGAACGCACTTTGAATTGAATTTACATTAAACAAATGAAAACAATTTAAACATTAATATTATGTGCGCTACGTTTATGTTTGTACTTACAAATCTATCAATAATTAAATTTATTAATTAATTATAAATTAAATATACAATGAAATTGCAAGAACACAACAGCAGCAACAACAACAACAGCAACACGTACACTTAATGTTTAACAAAAAGAGAAAAAACATTGAAAATGAGAAAATGAAAAAGACTAAATAAAATATTAATGAAATAAGAGTAAACCGAAGCGAGATCATCCTTGACTGGACTGCCTGCCAATCCACTAGAACTTGCGCAACTTGGTGGCCATGTCGACAATCATGTGCAGATTGGAGTTAAGGGTTTTAATCTGATTCAAAGTAGCCGAGTCCAACTGCTTGAGCACCTCGCGCTTCACCTCGGACATCTTTTGCGGCTTCAGCTTGAGCACGCCCAGCTTGGTCGGTATGTGCACGTTGGCGCAACGATCCGGAAAACTGCAGCAGACAGGAATTAGTGCAGTTGATGATGATAGTAATAGGCGTGGACATTATTTACGTCTGCACGGCCAGCGGGCTGCCGCCCGTGGAGAGAGCCACCTCTCCCGGTTTGGGCCAGCGTAACAGAGCCACAGCTGGTAAGTCGGCGCGCCGGACCATGCCACGGACCCGGTCCACGGATTGTACCTGAGGGCGCGCCGACAGCGGCTGCTGTGGCGTGCGCAAGCGTCCGCTGCGCGTAATGGACTGGCTGCGCTTCGTAGGCGGTTTGGGCGCTGAAAGTCTTTATTAGCGGTGGATTTTTATAATAAGGATGGCTGCTACTCACCTATCCACTGATAGTCCTCAAAGTGGTGCAGCTTGAGCTTGAGAAACTCGCTCCACTTCATCTGCAGCACATGCTGATGGGTGCGCGCCAATATTAGCTGCAGCTGATTGTTCACCTGCTGCACGCTGCGCTTGCCAAGTTCATCGATCTTCTCCAGCGACGACTCCAGTTTCATCTGTGCCATGCGCAGCTGCTCCTCCCGCTCCGCATCCAGGCGCATCTGCTGACGGGTACGTTTTCCTATTTTGGTGCGTGGCATGTCGACTTTAGACTGAAACAGTTTTTAAATGCTTAGACTCGAGAATTGACAGCTTCTGTGCCTGCTGCGATTGAACATTTAGATTTTTATTAACTTGGGACCAACTTAATTTTAGAATACACTTTAAAAAATGGATTAGCAACTGCGAACTGAACTTAAACTAAACGAACATAAAATAGGTATGTGTATAGATTAGGAATATATATGTATATATAGAGGATAGATTTAAGTTTGTAGGCATTCGACGTTTGGGGAGCTACTTGAAGCCGGCCTTGTTGGCCGTGTTAACAATCAATTGCAAGTTCTCATGCAATGTCCTTATTTGGTTTAAAGTGTCCGCATCCAGATTCTCCAACAGATCAGCCTTGATCTCGGACAGCTTCTTGGGCCGGAGCGATAATACGCCATTGCGTATGGGTATATTGACATTGGCAAACTTGTCTGGCATGCTGCAAATGGAAGGGGGGCAGAATTTAGTTGGCTGATAGACGCGTACTCCAGGGGACATCACTTACACCTGAGACACAATGGGGCTGCCGAACTTGGAGAGCGCCACCTCACCGGGCTTGGGCCAGCGCAGAAAGGCCATGGGCGGCGTGGAGGGCGAAGAGCTGCGCTTCTTTAGAAGGCGCGGCGTACGATCTGCGCTAAATGCCTTTGGACGCGATGCCATCGGTGTGCGCATCTTGCTGCGCGAAGTTCGAAGCGCATTCGAGCTGCTGCTGCTGCTGGCCACAGCGCTGCTCGTATTCACCAGCACCTTGGAGGCACCACAAGCGGAGCGACTGCGGCGCTCGCGACGCGCACGCGCCGAATGCAGCGGTCCAGGTGTGCGCATGGCCTTAGCCGAGCGCAGCATGGAACCAGCGTAAGCGGACATAGTGCATGCGCTGTTGCTGCTGATGGCACCGCCCAGGCTGCTGTCCTCTGTAAGGTAGCCTAAATAGAGTGTGGCCAGACCAACAGCAAAATGTATGGGTGTACGTGTGTGTGCGTGCGTGAGGATGACAAATGTTAGGATTACAAGAAAATTAGAGCAGAGTTCGAGAACGCGCCACCAAAAAGCAGAAAATAAATCAAAATAAAAAATAAAGAAATAATACCCTCATCATTGCGACTGCTGGTCGCTGTTGCGGCTGAGCAAATGTTGGTATTGGTACCGCCGCCGTTTGTTGTATTGCTGCACATGGACTGCGAGCCGAAATGCTGCGTCTGATCGCTGGCCTTGAAGTCGGCAAAGTGCTCGAGTGTGGGCAGCAGCTCCAGAAAGTCGCACATTTTCATCTCGCGCAGCTCGGTTTGCAGCCGCGAGGTAATCATCTGCAGCTGCGTATCCACCATGGATTTGTAGCGCATCTCCAAGTCGTCGATGCTCATCAGTACGGAATCCATTTTTAATTCGAAGGTGCGTATCTTTTCCTCACGATTGGCCGCCTCGCGATTTCGTTTCGAATTTTTTGTTATCTTTGTGCGCGGCATTTTGGCAGCGAGTTTCTGGTTTCTTATATTTCGAAATATTCTCTAGTAAATATATATTTTATTTTGCGTCTTTCTTTTTGGCACACTGAGCAGGCGTCGCTTTTGTATGTTTCTTTTGAGTTTTTCCGCCGTTTTCTTTGCAGCTGGCGTCGATAGGCGGCTTCAATGTGAATGTAATCGTATCGTTACATGCGATATATCGATATGTTTAAATTTTGCTCAACAGTCTGTGCAGCTCTGTAATATTAGGCAGACCATTTCGAGCGATTGCTTCTGCAGTGTTTCCCGCGAAAGTGAGCATATTACAAATATAATTCGGGATTTTCAGTGTTTTTTTTATTAATTTTTTTAAATAATAACAATTTGATGTGTTGTGCAAATATATGAGCAATAGCAAACATGTTTTTCGCGTGTGCAAATACGACTTTTAGTTATTTTGTGCCCGTGCGTCATTCATACATACTCTCAAGCAAGAACCGTTACTTGGCTGCCAATCGCTCCTCTCACTGCTCCGCACTGCGTACAAACGCATGTTTTTGAATGTATGTATGTATGTCTGCCAAGAAATTGGTAATTCAATTTTTTCTTGTTACTTTATTATTATTGAATATATGTATTGAATAACATTTTTATTCAATCGTAACATATACATATAAAATGATTATTAAGCTTGACTAAATTTATGTGCTCAAAGCTTACCTCTCCTGATTGAATCATTAAAACCTTGCATTTGTGTTTATGTATGAACATGTATGCATACATAAATATGTATATATGTATGTACACTTGTTTCACAACGTTAGCTTTCACGTTTGCTTGGATGTTATACTTGTTTTCTGTTTTGAAAAATAGTATTTATTAAATCCCTGTTAATTAACTCGACGAAAGATAGTATAAGACTTTATTATTTATGTATGTATATTGTCTTTGTCTTGACCAGTTGATGTCTATAAACTGCGGGGATATATAATGGAAATTTGTATCAACATTTATAGAAAGTGTTGTTTAAAGTTATCTTAAACATTAAAGGAAGTGTCTTTCAGCGGCAGTCTTGATAAAGCTTGTCCATCTTAGTTTTTGTTTGCATATGACGTCATAGCTTAAGGCTTTTCGTGTGCGATCGTTGCGAACAGTAAATTAGTACATTTTAAAATGAATTATTTATTATAGAAATACGCCCCTATTGGATGATTAATGCGGGTGAAAGCTTAAACGGGCGAATCAGCTTCAAACTTAATTTCAAAACTGATAGAAAAATAAATTGCAACATGTTTCAGCGAGTTTTAAAACTCCATCCACAACTGTGAAATTTTCGGTTTCAGACTCATTTTTAAAGATCTTTACGAAAACTATTTTGGTACGTTCTCGTAAAGTTCACCGTTCTTAGATGAGAAATGCGGGTCAAAAGTTTAATAAGCGAAAGTTTATTTATCCGCTTATCACAAGATTTACATGGCCGGAACTGTTGATTTCAACATTTGGTCATTCAATTTAGAAGTGGAAGTGGATAAATAGAAGTGGAGATCAGATGGTACGGGTAGATTTCAATTATCCACGGGCGGGTACTTGGTGGAAAGGTAATATCTAAAATTTTGAGCACAAAACGTTCCACGGGCAAGGCCGGGCAATATCCGCTAGTAAATATATATAGGTACTTTTTGGCTGCCTTCTGATAGGGTATACAAGCCTTTAATTTTTATTACTTCGATGTGTTTTTGCATGTGTTGTATCGTCCAATTCATACGCATATGTGTCTATGTATGTATGCATGTTTGTTTGTATGTAGTGCGTGTGACAGTGTGTATGTTAATCAGCATTGCCACTCAATTTATCAAACTTCACAATTTCGTTGGTGTGAGCAAGACAGATGCATGTCAACATGAAAATAGAAAGTATATAGATATTGAAATTAATAGAGATACGCATGCAATAATATTTTAGGGGTATATACATATGTAATAATTGCAGTGTGATATTCGACAGTTGTGCATGGTCTATAAACAAGTTTCTTTGCTATGTCGAAAGGCTAGAGAATATTGTGTGCATTAACTGCATTAATGCAGTCGGGAGAATGCAGCACACATTTCAAGATTGAAAAACTGAAGTCCCAAAAATTACAGCCGCAATCCTATTAGGCAGCACTGGTGCGGCATAAATTGCATGCTGTGGCAGTCGTAGTTTGTGCTAAATACGAGTGCATAGCATATAATAGATATGAATGTATATCTCAGCCAGACTGTGGTGAGTATATAATGTATCTGCAGTTGACTGCGTGTTCTCTCTGCACTTTGGGCTAACTTTCTGCTTGGCTGTGACCACTTTTATGACAATCGCAACATTTTGGACAGCCATTGATTAGGTTTTGCTAATTAAATTGCCAGACCGTGCAGGCGGACAACGTGTCAAAGTTTTTAATTGGCACTTGGCTGGAGCACAAAAGCCAGCAACAGTTAATCCGCTTGGCTGGCCTTAAAGCCAAAGTCAAAGACGTAACTGAAGCTGAGCCTTGGCCACAATTGATGTGCGGGCATCTCAAAAGCATATCCAATCAGCGGTAACGTCAACATTTTCGCTCCAGTTTATTTGTGAGAGAAATTCAACAAAAGCAGATGCCACAGCAGCAGCGACAGCCACAACAACAGTGAAACCCAATTTGCGCGGCCAAACGATGCGTTAAGCACACAAAATGCAAAACGGACTTTCATGGATAGATTACACAACGACTTATTTTACATACACGGACATACACACACACACACACACACAGAGATGCACAAACATATATAAAGTGTGCGTTTATCCTGCCCTCATTCCGGCCCCAGCCGCAGCTCTTTGCCGCTTCTGATTGCCGCTCGCCTCGTCTGCGTATTTGCAACTGTTGCATATTGCATAGTGCGTGCAACGCTTTTATTGTGCCGCCTGTCGCCGCAGCAGCCGCTGGCAGACAGCCTACATGTGGAAACGGGAGCATACCAACCAGGAGTATCATTACATTTTGTATATATTGTAGAACAGGTGGAGCCAGGACGGGCACAATGAAAGCCACACAAAGACCAGGATATACAATCCAGACAGGCAGCCAAGCGGACGGGCAACCAGCCATATCGAGAGGTGTGAGATCTGATACGAATCTGAAATACCCTTCCCTTAGCAGTGTTGTATAGTAAAAGAAACAGTCATGCATCTCGCGGATTTACTTGAAGACTTTCATAAGTCAAATTATTATTAAATTACCCATAATATAGAAAAATATATATTGAAAAACATCATGCTCTATTACATGTTAAAATTTGTTTATTTATGTATACTCTTTACCTAGAAATAATAATATTCGAATTTTTCGGCAAGGTATTTTTGGTTTATGAAATTCTTCAAATAGATTAGTGACATGTTTTAAGAAGATGTATCAAATTATTATACTTGCCTGGGTTTAAATATTTGCATCATTTTTTGCTTAATATAAAATAGAAATGAATTATAAGAGAGCTAATTAGTTTTCTTTAAATGTAAAACACAATTCTTTTCTATGTCACTTCTTAGTTTTTAGTCCTTTAATATATTTGGGTATACTTAAAGAGTAATTATATTATTTGTAGTTATAAATGTCTTCAATGCTAACTAATATGCATCCCTAATAATTTTCTATTTTACAATCATATGCTTTCTCTATTTCTTTTTCGCTTAATCCCGCCTTTTCTCTCACACTACCTTTTACTCGCTCCCTTCCTTTACCTAACATCGCCCTTCTGTTAGATTTTCATAAATTTAATTAATGCTTGCATATTTTGATATTTTTTCTTTTCAGTAATGGGCACTACGTAATTGGTAATATTTGTATAGTTGTTTGAGAAAGAGGAAGACACCTTCTTGTTTATTTGTAAGTTAGTTAAATTACTTCTTTAACTAACTTTAACTTAATAATTAGAACATAAACAAACATAATAATAATTGTTATTGTTGATAAAATTTTAAAACTGCTAGTATGAAGGATAAATAATACTAAAAATAAAAGTAATTACTGAAGTGCATCACGTAAAATAATCTTAATTCTAAATGGGCTTTTCTAGATTGCAATTTCGATTATTTAAATTAAATTAAGTTTAGAGTCTCTGCCAAAACTTTGCTACCATTTAGAGGCTTTAATTTGATAACAAAATGTTCAAGATTCATCTGGCTGCAATTGCACCAACAACTAGAAGCCAACATTTCCAATTAAAACCAGTTGCATGGGATTCATTTGTACGGGTTATTTACTATTCACTGGTTCGTGTTCTTTACTATCTAAGTTCTTGTACATTTCAAATTGTCTCTACAACTACCCTGACGGCTAAGTACACATAATATATGTACGTAGATAGTAAATAGGTGCTCCAAAAAAGCAATCATTTAAATGTTATGGGTTTTTGATATATATATATGGTAGTTCCATCCCCTCTTCGAAACTACCCTTAGACATTAATGAGCCAAATATTGAATTGTGTGCGCTCTAAGTTGGGAGTAAGTATCGTAAACTCAATTAAATTTTCGACTAGCATTCTAGTTCAATATAAAATTACCCACACACACACACACGCGCACCTACACGCAAGCCAGCTAGCACCCCCGCCAGCTCAAACCCTCTTTAGGCACAGGTGTGCATTTGGACTGTTTCACAGTTTTCAACCCGTTCCGGAACACTCAAAACTGCAAGTTGCACTCAAAAGCAACGACTCTCGACTGTTTCATTGCCGCGCGTTCCACTCGTGGGTCGCCTTGGCGTATGCAACAGAGACGCCGAACAGTCGCTCGTAGCAGGCAGCGGCAGCAGTTGCATTCGATTGCCAGCCATCGCCAGCAGTTAGCCAGAGCCAGAGCCAAAGCCAGCGACAGAGTAGCCAGAGCAGACAGCAGCCAGCAGCCAGCGTCAGCGCCAGCGTCCAACTGAACGGACTTAAGTTCCGTTCTGCATCGTTCGCATTCGCATTCGCATTCGAATCAACACACATTCCACATTCATTCGCCATTCATTCGACATTCGCGCGCTCGCTTCTGGTTATTTTGATAGTCGGTCGAGCGAACTAGACTTGTGCTCGGGACCGTTGCCGCAAGCGTGCCCCGCACCCGTCTCTCTGTCGGTTCAGCTGCCTTTTGTTTGTTTGTTATTGTTGCCTTTGTTTATTGGTGCGTGTCTTTAGTTTGCGCTCGTTTGCTTTGAGCCGTTTTTTCGTAACTGAAGAGCGAGGCGGAGAACAGGAGTGCGACGAAGGCATAATTAAATTAAAATTTACTCACAAGACACTCACACACACACGCACACTCACTCACGGCAGAGGCAACTAATCACATTACCAGCCATCAGGCATTGACATCGACGGCGGCAGTCGGCCAGCAACGGAACCAGAAGACATTCACAGTTTGTGTTGCATAGTTTTTGGCGCGCGACATACACACGACCTCTTAACGCAAATTGAAAACGTTGTGCACTTCATCCTACGTCCCATTTCGGACATCCTAAGTTCAGGTCTACTTCCCGAGCGAAGCGATCAAATTATCAACTTTTCTGTCTGGTAAGTTAGATTCGAAAATAACAATTGGAAAGATCCATTAAAGATAATATAAAAACACATCACATTTATTAATGGATCTAAAAATAATCGAACAGTAAATAATATATATAGTTTTTGTACATTTCAACACAAAATATTCAGTGTGTAGTGTAGTGTTCTTTAGTCATTATATAGTTATTAATATTAACAGTCAGAAATCCAAATCAGGTCAAGAAGAAACTGAAATAGTTTATAGCAAATCTAAAATGTAGGTCACTAATTATGAACCATTTTTATGAAGCCCAAAGCATTGTTAAGTGCTAATGTTTTTTATCTTATTCATTATTTTCCAAGCTCTGTCTTTTAACACTAATCTTGAAACTGTGCATTGACTATGACAAATTATTTAAAATACTTTCTGAACCTAACTTCCGGGTTTTGAAAGAGTATTGAAATCAAATACTGCAGAAAATTAAAAAATAAATGTAAGAAAATGTATTTAACCATTACAGATCCATATATTAATAAGTTTGATAGTTGATAAGTTAATAAGTTTGATACTTATTAATATTTGGTGTCTATTTCTTTTTATATACTACATCTAGTCCCTATACTTGCTTGATTATCCAAAATTAATTTCTGACACCATTAGAAAAGATATATTGCCATCAAACTTATTAATGTGTAATACCAATTAGTTTTTATATACTACATTTTTTAATTCTTTCTTTACTTGATGCCTAGTTTCGTTTTGTATGCTGGGAAACTATGTTTATCTTGCCATAAAATTTATTATTAAGTAACACTTAATCAAAACTGAGTGTTCCATTTCGTATGCTATACCACTATGGAGACCCCCGCTATAGACCATCGCATTTGCATTGTATTGCTGTTCATGTGTAACCACATTTAATAGCATTTTCAATTTCCTGTTGTCCTCATAAATCGCCTGGCCGTTTAAATTCCAGACACCAGCAATAAAAATAAAAATAAAAAAGTTCTGAAATTGTGTGATGATTAAAATCCCTGGCCGGCATTATTAACCTCAGAGGCTCCTTTGTCCATTTTGTAATGAGTGAGCTTCGGCCCAAAATGTGCGCAATAAAATTGTCATTTGCTCACGCAGGCAGCCTTTCAATAAATATTGCAGCCAGGTCCTGGCCAGACCATTTGCCCTTTCCATTGTCCTGATGCATCTGCGGTTAATGTACGCGAATTGTCCAACTGCAATTTACTGTTGTTCTGATATATACGCAGATGTAGTTATATGTGCGTATATATATATATATATGTATTTATTTTTTGCTGCTGTCAGCGGCACGCCCCAAAACAACGCCCTCGGGCCGCGGCCAATTATTATTGCGCCATATATTTTTATATCTTTTATCTTAAATTCAATTAAAAAACATTTTGTAAGCAAAGCAGGCGTTTATATTGCCTACATACCGTGCATATATATTTTGAAGTAGGGTATATGCAATCAAATACTCAAATGAGCAGCAAACCTTATTTGAAATGTGTTTTAGTTTTTTAGAAATATTTACCCTTTTTCCCTTTCTTTTTTCCTTTTGTCTCTTGATCACATTGAAATGTTATTATTTTTAATTTAATTCTTTTTATCATTGTGATTTGTAATACAAAAATTAATTGAATTGCTTGTATATCGAGGCGCTTGCTTGTTTATTTGTTTGTTGGTTGGCCGAGTGATGATTGAATTACACAATTACATTCCATTCGCATTCACATTCACAATTCCCCTTCGCATTTGTCGTGCTTCAATTATAGTGAAAAATATTTGCATTTCAATGCAACATACATTACAGGGAAGGGGCGGGGCTTAAATTGTGGAGCGTGCCATTTGCTGAATTCTCGAGTACCTTTAGGTGCCGTTTTGCACGTCCAAATACCGAGTGGCATTAAACATGTTTCAATTAATTTTTAATTGAATTCGTAGTTTTTCTCTATTTTAATATATAATAAACAATAAATGATAGACTTGCGAGGGGATGCAGTAATCGGGGGACTTGTGTTTGAATTTGAATAGCAAATGATATTTTGTTTGTAAGCTAATTTCTTTTTTATTGCAATTACAAAAGCTTGTAATATCCGTAAAAAATTGAAATAAATTTGTTCATATAATCCGTGGGATAATTAAACAGCTCAATTACGCGAATAGAATTTATGGTTAAAGTTTCAATTATCCTTTAAGCTGTTAAGCATAATTATGCAGCATAATTATTTTTATTTAAGCTTATTAGACAATTTTGTTCTATTTATTAATTGCATAACTTTGCTCGCTTGCCAGCAGTCTAGGGCTATGATCTATATAGCCGCGAGAAGCGAAGCGGTCATAAGTTTTCTATACATTTCTTATACAATTAAGAAAAGACTTTATTTACGTATATTTATTTTACAGCTATTTTTGATCATATTCCGCCTAACTTTTCGCTGAACTTCTCGCTGCTCTTCTGGATGTTTTTCTCACGTCACTTATCATTTCGCTTCTTGCTGCGCATCGTTCTTTGCTTATTACATTGGTTTTATTTTCTATTCTTATATCGTTTCTCTCTCTCCTTCTCATTTTATTTAGACTTTAGGTTAATTTTTGATTTATACTTCGCTTCTTACTCCGACTTTAGTTAAGCATCTTCCGCCTGTTTTGGATGCGGATTTTCTTAAGTTTTTTGTTTGATATTTGGTCGGATTTTGATTAGTCTTCAGATTGGGATTTTCACCGTCTATCTCGCTGCGCATTTCCCGCAGAGCCTCTTTTTACTGTGGTTCCCGTAAATTTGTAGAAAGCTGCATTTCTGACGGTTGTTGCAAACATAAATTTTAATTTTAAAAAATAAGTGGAAAAAAATAACTAGAAAAACTTGTTATTCATTCTCAATACTTAAACTTATTGCTCCTTAACACTTCGCTTCGATTTCATTTTCAATCTAAATTTTTTATCGTCCCTTAGTAAAGTTCGTATGCATAATTTAAAATGGGAAAAAAAATTGATTTTCGCTGCGTCTGCAGTGGCCATTGGCCATGATAATAACAATGTTTTCTTGCTGCAAGACACAGCCTGCATTCCTGCCACGCCCCCTTTCACTCTCTGGTAAATGCGATGGTCTCTGCGCCTGTGAGGAAAACCCTTCAGACTTGAAACTCTGTCACTGAGCAAGCATTTTTTTTTTGTTATGCTTGAGCCAGCGCGTCAACAAATTATAATTGTATATAGCATCAGCGTGGTCTGCAAGGGGGGGCTGGGCTGGTGGATGGCGGTGTCAGAGTTTGCGTGCGCTGTTCAAGAGTCGTAAAAAGTGCTTGGACAGGAAATTCTCATTCCAAGGCCTTCTCCAGAGCACAGAGCGTTGTCGTCCGCGGCGTCCGCGTCGAGTGCTGGACAAGCTGACGTTTGGGGGCAAAGGCTGTTGCTAACAGAAAAGTATGTTAATAAAAATTTTAATTTATCGCCAAGCATAAAAAGTGGTAAAGTGTCGGGCCGCTCAGTTCCCGCCCTCTCCACCTGTCTTTTCGCCTGCGCCGTTAAGTATGCAACGTTATTTTCGTTTTCATTTTCATATTTTCACATTTTCTGTGTGCTTTAACACGCACAAAACGCATTCGTTGCCGCGACAACTCAATGGCCCCTCCCCCAGCTTCGCACTTGTGCCCTCAGTCTCATCCCGCATACCCGCAGCAGCTCCAGTTCCAGCAGCTGGCGTCCGTAAGCTGGCCTTTGTTCCATCTCCCCCCTTTGCTTCGGCCCTCAGTTCATTGCGCGTGTTCATCAATAACAGTTTCAAGTGGTTTTTGGCCAAGCCAAAAAGAAAGAAATGCACGCGATGTGCAGCAGCAGTAGCAGCAGCCGCGTTGCAAGCAAAGTTCAACCATGCCCCATAGGAGCCGCCCCACCGCCCCCGCGGCTGCAGTCCTCAAAATAGCTCGCGACGCGTCGGCGCCCACTTCAAAGTTCGATTTTCTGTATTGAAAATTGGCGTGCATTAGTTTCAACCAAGCCGCCTTGGCAAAATATGTGGCATGACCCGATAGAGAGGCAAGCAGGCAGTGAAAGAGGGGGAGAGAGTGACAGTGGAATAAAGGGTGTGCGTGTGTGTGTGCATACCTTTTGGCGTTCCTTTAATTAGGGTCAAGGCTAAATTGAAAAACCTTTAAATCGGTTTACTTTAAATTCAAAGCTGTTAAATCCAATTTTTCAAAGGTTAAAACTATTATTGTTATTATATTATAGTCCAACTATTGCTGATTGACCTTTCCTCTGTTGTACACACGCTCTGGTCAGCCCTTTATTAGATTCACCTCTTGTTATGATAAGTAATTATATACGTATTTAATATTTAATCCTTATGTTGACAAAATATCAATCTTTCTCTTGGATCTGCGTTCCTATGTCCCTAAATATCGCCTTGAACATTTCAAAGCAGTCGAATGCAAAATGATTTTCTGAGCTGCCTTAATTCGATTACTTAGACAAGTTTCCTATGCATTTAGTTTACAAAGATTTTAAATAACATAGCAATGGTGTGCACTGCAGAAAATGTAAATTTTTGACAAATTAAATATTGTCAATTTATTCCTTCTTAAAGCGAATTCATATACTGTGACTTTTCCGATCGTTATTCAACTTTCGGAAAATATATGAATTTGAATGCTATGTTTGAGACTTATAATAAATGGTATCTGCTTTAGCTAGAATATATATTATTTCGACTCTGGCAATCTATATGTCTATGAGCTAGACAGCTCAATATACTACATATGCAGAGAGGTCTAAGTAACTAAATTAATAAGGAGGATCCTGGTTCAAATCCTAGATGTCAGTGTATGTCAATGTGAAGTTGCACTGTCTCAGTTGAAGTTCAGCGGTTGAAACTAACCAAACAAAAATAAATTAAAAGCCTAAAAATATGTAAAAAAAACGCGTATGAACTTTTATTATGTTACATTTATTATTTGTCTTTGATAACCTTTTTCATATGGGATTTTCGACGAATTTACGATGTGAATAGAGATCAAGCCAACTGACAAAAGTCCAAATTGTAAATTAAACACAATTGGGTTTATTTGGGCAAATAATATTTAATGCCAACCATGCGTCATTTATTCAATTTTGTTGATTAACTGATGCTTTTATTTATGTGCATTGTGAGCTCGAAAGTATGCTACAAAATGCACAGCATGTAATTGTGTGATGCGTGTGCATCACATAAATCCTGCCATTCAATAAATTTTTGGTATACTTCATTTCGCATTTCATTGCGCCAGTTGCATTATAAATAACAAAAGCCCGAGCCGTGCACACATAAGTATCTGGCAACACATTTGTGGGCGGACGACAACCGTGTACCACAGACACAGACACACGCACACACAGTCGAATCCGCAGGCCACTAAGCGGAAGTGCATTCACAAAATTTGCGCTCTACTTCCGGTTTCCGTGTGGTGTCTCTTTCTGCGGTGTCAGTAACTGTGTCTGTGTGCATGTGTGTGTGTGTGCTGTGTTTGCCTGCTGTGCAACGGCGCAGAAGTTTGATAAATTAAATTTTGCAAGCAAGTCCTTTGGCAAATTTTATTTTTGCTGAAAACTCTATAGTTTACGCTGAGATGTTTTTTAAAGAATAACACACTGCAGTAATGCAATTTTATTTAATGGTCCTATATGAACATATTTGACAAGTGCAAAGTGCAAATTCCGATGGTGAGACTTACTAGTAAATAATATTTTACTGTTTCCCTGTTTCCTAATTGCAGAAGAAAAGAACCATAAAAAAGAACGAATAAAAAGAAAATAAATAGCATCCTTGTATATGGATTTTAATAATTTTTTATTAACTATCATTCAATTATACTGTATGCCTGTATCCTTTAAAAGAAATACATGACATTTCATATTGGGGGGCTGTATACAATTAACAAAAATTGATGAATTTATTAAGATATCAAGGAAAAATAATCTCTATATATAAAACTGTTTGTCCTGACTGACTGACTGACTGACTGACTGACTGACTGACTGACTGACTGACTGATTGGTGATCAACGCACAGCCCAAACCGTAAGAGCTAGGAAGCTGAAATTTTCACTGTAGCTACCTTATGTGATGTAGGTGCACGTTAAGACGGGGTTTCGGGAAATTCCACCCGCAAGTGTGGAAAAATCGCGAAAAACGTTTGTATGTAACTTTTTTGTTTACCATCTGATCGGCCTCAAACTTATTTTCAAAGATCTTTGTTCAAATTCATTTGAGGGGTGTTTTACACTTTTCGAAAAATCCGTTCCTCCTTGGTGGAAATGGAGTTCAAAGATTTGGTGGGTGACGTTTCGCGCTCAAATTCATTTCCAGTGATCTATAAGAAAAATCATTTGAGACGTGTTTCACACTTTTCGCAGAATTCAAACTTCTTCGGGGGGAGTGCGATTTAAAGATTTTTTGGGTGAAGTTTTAAGTTGTGTCCGATTTGCTTCAAACATATTTTCAAAGCTCTACATAAGAACTTAATATATACGTATTTCAGCGATTTGGGAAATTCCACCCGCAACAGTGGTAAATTGGCGGAAAACCGTTGTATGAAAGTTTTTTGTTTACCATCCGATCGGCCCCAAACTTATTTTTAAAGATCTTTGTTCAAATTCATTTAAGGGGTGTTTCACACTTTTCGAAAAATCCGTTCCTCCTTGGAGGAAATGGAGGTCAAAAATTTGGTGGGTGACGTTTCGCGCTCAAATTCGTTTCCAAAGATCTATAAGAAAAATCATTTGAGACGTGTTTCACACTTTTCGCAGAATTAAAACTTCTTCGGGGGGAATGCGATTTAATGATTTTTTTGGCGAAGTTTTAAGTTTTGTCCGGTTTGCTTCAAACTTATTTTCAAAGCTCTAAATAAGAACTTAATAAATACGTATTTCAGCGATTTGGGAAATTCCACCCGCAACAGTGGTAAATTGGCGGAAAACGGTTGTATGAAAGTTTTTTGTTTACCATCCGATCGGCCCCAAACTTATTTTCAAAGATCTTTGTTCAAATTCATTTAAGGGGTGTTTCACACTTTTCGAAAAATCCGCTCCTCCTTGGAGGAAATGGAGGTCAAAAATTTGGTGGGTGACGTTTCGCGCTCAAATTCGTTTCCAAAGATCTATAAGAAAAATCATTTGAGACGTGTTTCACACTTTTCGCAGAATCCAAACTTTTTCGGGTGGAATGCGACTCAAAGATTTGTTGTGCGAAGTTTTAAATTGTGTCCGATTTGCTTGAAACTTATTTTCAAAGCTCTACATAAGAATGTAATGAATACGTGTTTCAGCGATTTGAGAAATTCCACTCGCAACAGTGGTAAATTGGCGGAAACCGTTTGTATGAAAGTTATTTGTTTACCGTCCGATCAGTTTCAAAATCATTTCAAATTTGCTTGAGAACATTGATTTTATAACATACGTGCCACGCGCAAGGCCGGGTTATACCCGGTAGTATCTTATATAATGCTAAATTTGGCGACATTTGCCATTATATACCCTTGCACAGGGTATTATAATTTTGTCTCGAAATGTGTTACGCACAAAAGGAGTCATCGTCGACCGCATAAAGTAAATATATTCTTGATCAATAGCAACAGCCGAGTCAAAATAGCCATGTCGATCGGTCCGTCTGTCTGTTTCCCTCTTACGTACCTCTTTCTGTTGCACACAACATATATGTCGGAAGCGGCTGGATCGGACCACCATATCATATAGCTGCCGTAGGAACGATCGGTCGAACTTTAAGTTGTTGTATAAAAAAGTTTTTTCTTTATCGAAATAACTTGACCAAACTCGGCATTTATAAGTTTTACTATGTTCCTCATATATGGACAAAATCCTATCAACACCGAACCACTATATCATATGGCTGCCATAGGACCGATCGGTTGAAAATTAAGTTGTTATATGAAAAACTTTTTTGTTATTCAAGATAAACTGACCAAACTTGGCAAATAGAAAAGGTTTGGTCTGCAAGGGTATTAAATCTTCGGCGTGCCGAAGATACCTTTGCTTTCTCGTTTAAATACTTAGTTAGCCGGACCTCGAGTCAGCTAACTAGATATTTTAATATTATATATTTATTATCTATATCATACTTTGAATTAGGATTAGATTAAATAAGGTAGGGGTTTGTTATTTCTTAGTCTTCATTTTGTGGTATAAATAGATGCGAACCTTTGAGCAAGGTATGCCAAATATAATAGATATGTATTTCAGAACCAGCTAGATCGACTCACTCTATCATTTGGCCCTTTTTAACTAAACCATTTAAAATTTATTAAAAGCCATTCATTTAAGTGCTTTCAAAGAGTAATTTTTTTATTTTTAAAGCAAGTAAATACCCCAGAGATAACATGGGCAAGCGCAATTTATATATGAGTCGGCAAATAAAAGCCGGGGGAGCTGCTTCGTCTAATTAAAACTATAAATTATGCTCGTTTAAATCCATTTGGGTTTTTTATTTCACTTTTTCCGCCTGCACTTTTAATTGCTATTTGTGCAACATATTAAAAGGGCAACAACAGTTGTCACAACAACAACAGCAGCAACAACTGCAAAAGGCAGGGCGATGCATAATTTAACACCTGCACGCCCAAACTAGGCCAAAATATAATCAGTGGGCGTGGCAGCAAGGCAAGCATAAAAAGACATCTGCGAATGCAGAAAAAAACTGAACCATGAAAGTTTTTCCGACCAGCGAAATTATACGAGCGCGTATGTGGCACAGCCACAAAGCTTGCATGGGCAGGTGGCATAGTATTGGAGGCGTGGCAGCAACTGGCTACCATCTACCGGCTACAGATAATTTCTTTGCCTGTTACATTGCAACGAGCATTTTCCCAATGTATTTTTCGCAAAGTTTCCGGTACGTTCGGCAGCAAATTTATTGAACCATGAAATGTTTGTGTACGTGTCTGGGCCAGGCCCGTAAAACGGATGCCAAAGCGGGACGGCGGGAAGGCTGGAAGGCTGGAAGGCGAAAACGGGATGAGGGGGCAAGCGAGCAGCAGCGGATGCTACAGGAGACAGGAGGCTGCAATGTGAGGCAAGTGCAAAGCAGGAGGCGGCACGACAAATGCTTGTTTGTTGTAGCTTCAATTGATACCCTCGAGTTCTGGTAATGCGGGTTGCCAGGTTCTCTGTTCTTAGACAAAATTATTAAAGTTAGGCTTTTTTAAATTAAAGTCAATGAGAGACATTCTTAGATGATTCTTTCACCCATTACAAATCAAACTTAAGTCTTCACAAAAAATTGTGAGTTCTTCAAAAGCGAAATTTGGATCTGGAATGCGTAATTCCATTGAAAAAACAATTTTTATGTTCCTTTCTCAAGTGTGTCTCAACGACTTTGCTTTGCTAGAAGTCTGTTAAAACCATTTTGTTCCTTGACAAGGATTCTTCGAAAGTGAGTAAAATCTTACAAGGAGGGAATATACCCCAATCGATATTTACCTTTTTTGGAATGATCTGCTGCTTGAACGTAATTTATGAGTATATCTTCAATCTGTAGTTTAGAAGTTGTAGAAAATAGTTATTTTCTTACATGCCTGCATTGTTTAGCTATCATTCATTATTTTGTTGTTAATTTCAAGATAATCATAAAGAAATTTCAACAAGATTTTCGGTATACTATTGCTTGTAAACGATTTAAAGTATGAAACAATTTAGTTACCCGGCTTAAGTAAGTAAAGGGCAGATACATTATCCCAAAACATTTAGTTGAGTTATTTCAAAATAGATACATTATCCCAAACCTTACAACTCCACATTGGAGATTAACGGTTTAAAATGAAAGACTTGATTCCACTTAACTTGGTCCTTAGCTTTTAACCCTAGACATAATCTAGGGCATAGCCAAGTCGTTGGCTTGCGACTTGAGATTATTTTTCCACTGGTTAGCTGCTGGCTTTTACTTGGCCAACATTGCTTGAAGCACCCCTCCGCCCGCATTGTTGTCTTCCATTTTTTGTTTCTTATGGAAACTTTGCATCACTTTGGGTCATCGCCTGCTGCCCGCTTGGAAATTCGCCTGTTTTTGCTTTTGGGAAATATTTAGTTGAAGTTTTTATTTAACGCATCAATGGCCACTTGGCTATTGGATCGTCCTGGTCGATTGCAGTGCCAAAGGGTTGCCCACAACTTTGTTTGTTATTGTTATTGTCGACAGTTTTGATGTTGAGCCACATGGCTCATAATTTTTCATTGGTATTTCAGTTTGCTTTTACAGCGTTTTTGCGCCATGAAAAATTGATGCCGGCTTCGATTTGATTGGATTTTGAAATGCTATCGAAGTAAATTAAATTGCATTGCATGAGAGATAGTGAGAACACACAAGTTGGGGTGCTGAAATATATATTTATGTATATATAAGATCAGGTGGCGCTTTAAAAGTTGCCAGCTAAATCGAAAGTTTCGTAATTGCTCTTAAATTTTGCCTGTTACTTGCGGTTTAATGTTCTGCCCTTGAGGTAATTAATCTTGTGGCTTCACTTGCCAATTGACGTGGACTGCGGGGTCGGAGAAGAGTGTGCTTTTGTTCTTTTCATAAATTGGGGTAATAAATTGAGCTGCAAATGGGTGCAATAATTTCGTTGGGTAATGGATGATGTGTTTGGAAGGGCGTCAACTTAGCGTAATGTATGGGGCATGTTTAAAACAATATGAATTTGATATAAAGGGTGTCCAAGGGAATGAGCTGAAGAATATTTATGCAATTTGCTAAAAAACAACATCACAAAAAAGATATTCTTATGCAGCAAATAACAAAAACTTTTACCAAAGAGGATGTTTATGTTTATATCCTTTTTCTCTATGTTGTCATTACTTTTATATTATTTCTTAAAGTCGTTAGTATCGAATGTGATAGAAATAAGTAAAATAGGAATTATGAATTTTTTAAACCAACTTCGGGCTTGAAAAAGAATTAGAAATTAATACAAAATTTAATGAATTTTGTTTTACAATAAAGAATTATAAAATATTTTAAAAAATTAAAGAAAACTTATTCAACTGTTGTAGACAGCTAACTCTTTTGATGAACGGACCTAGGGAAATAAAGTTTCTAGAGCACTTTGTTGAGCTCAAAAGGATATTTGGCTTCTACAAGAAAACTGTTGTTAACAAGCGTTGCATAAAAAAAATCCCATTCTCATAACGAACAGAGCACCCGACTTTCGCCACTTGACCAAAAAGCAATTATCGTGGCAACCTTTTTGCAGCGGCTGCAGAGAGTTTCAGCCATGGCCTAAAAGAGGCATGAATCAAGTGAAAAGCGGGCGTCGCTATTGACCCGCACCCGGTCTGCAGCTAATTCAATTAAACAGTTTTTGCGAGTTTTTCGAGCTTTTGGCGAGTTTTGTGTCCACCGTCGCATGCACGAAATGAATTTCGGGAGCCTTGGAACTTGTTCACCTATTGATCGCTTATTCAATTATTTGCGCCGTCGTTCATAGCCAGAAAGGGAGGGAGAGAGGGCGAGAGAGGCCGAGAACGGCCCAAACCGACACCAATTTGCCGCTGCCCCTTAACCAAACGTCAGACAAAAGGCGACAGCTGCCCCCAGCGTCTCCTCCCGCGCCCCAATTTGACTTGCCTCGCCTCGCGTCGCCTCCTGATGGAATGATGCAACTCGGCATTTCTATGGATGCTTTTCTGTAACGGCAACGTTTCCGCTCGCATTGCATTCCTTGGCAGAATGTATATCAATGTCGGGCGCGCCCTCCCACACCTCCTCCCCCCCCCCCCCCCCCCTCACCCTTGCTCAGTCCCACCCCTCCGATAGTGCGTTGCGCTTTTCGTGCCTCAAATATGTATTCGCTCGCAAGCGAAGCACAAACTCGCAGCCTGTTCAAGGGCCAAACAAAAAAAAAACTGCCGTAAACTAAATTCAATTAGTCCATTTTTTGTCTGGGTCAGCTTTTGGCTCTTCCCTAGCTGTCACAATGGATTTGCATAGATCAAGGGCAAAGTGGGCGAGGGGATTTCCCCAGCCATTTGGCTGGAGAGACAGGTCTGCAAAATGGGGCATGGAAGCGAATGAGGTATGGTCGGGGATTTGCAAATAGTTCGAACATTTGTAACATGTGTAAAAGCAACGGGAAGGCAACAAAAAATATTTGATTTGATTAAACGTCGCTGCGTTTGCAACAAGTGCGCTAAATGGATGCGGGCGTGCGGGCGGAGGGCGCTAAGTGATTGGGCGTGGCGGGCAGCAGCTGTGGCAGCTGTTTATCCCACACGGACACCGATTCACATCCTGATTCCGATTCAGATTGATTGTGCGTAGAGTCCAGCTGCAAATTGCGATAAGTGCTACGAGTATTTGCAGTGGTCAATCCTGATGCTCTGCTGCGAATTCGTTGATTGTGCGGCAAGAGGTAAAGGGGGGATCAAAGTACTGCGTTCCTAACTGCGTATTTGGAATTTTGGTAAATATTTTTCTCAGATCTTAACAAATTGCATAAGTTTTTCAATATTGTTTGTTTTGATGGCGCTAATTGATATAAACGAGAAAGTAAGGATACCTTAGGCATTTTGAAGATTTAATACCTTTATAATAGATTTGAAATAGAAAGACGGACCTACGGAAAGTTTCAAGACGATAGCTTTAAAACTGAGTTATTAGTTCGTTTAAAAATAGACAGGCGGATGATCTAGGATATATATATTTTATATAGGGTCAGACATGTCTCCTTCTTAGCGTTACACATTTCTTGGCAAAATCATAATATCCTCTAAAGGGTATACAAAATAACCAACACTTATCTCGAGCACGCCACGTTAATAGAAGTATTAATGAGAAACTTAAATATATCAATATAACAAAAATAAGTTAAATTGAAATTTTTAAAATGTATATCAAACAAATATTGCTTATAATAAAAAAAAGTCTTATGTCTCTCTTATTTCCCGGGTCCAAAGAATCGAAAAATAGAGTTCTAAAAATTCGTCAACAATTAATCTATGATAAATTAATATGTACTTAACAACGTCTTTAAACGTCCTTTAAAGGAAGCTTCAAACGAACATGAAATATATTTAAAAATGCTTGACATATCCTAATTAAAGCAAAAGCGCTTTACAATTTTAAAACTGAATATGTTGCTGAGATAAAAAGGCCCAACTAACTAACCATTTACTCTTGCACTGATTGCAAAAATTGAATTGTACCGAAGGTTTAAGGCTAAGCGTGTCTATTATTTTATATGAAATACATAGCATCAATCATATTTTATATATTTCGACACAGATAAACAATTAGAATGAATTTATATAATCTGTTTTTTAATTCGCAAGACAAGTCCAAGCCAAAGGTATTCAATTACCAAACATAAACTTTTCTTATTTTATAGCCAAAACAAATAAATTTAAAATTGTTTTTGGCATGAAAATGTCACCTGTTTCGGGCAATAAAATATTCTCTAGTGCACATAGAAAAATAAATATGTATGCATTTTGCATTTTCTCGAAATACAATACCTTGTTCACACAAACTCTAAGCGAAATCTGATGCATTTGTTTCGGAGAGCAAACTTTTAGGCTGTATGTAGGTTACATTTTAATAAAATATATTAGCATTTGTGCAAGAGGCCAACAAAGTTGGTCCTTTCGCCATGCGATGCAGACTACGGCGACTAAGCTTTTAAGTATACCCATAAGGACGGTCTCACATAAATACACGTACCCAGTGACACTCAATTAAAAACGTACGAAAAACTATATCTCAACTGTAATCAGAAGTCTGACCTAAGAGAGTGTATGTCTGTGTGTGTGTGTGTGTGTGTGTGTGTGTGTGTGGGTCTGCTAGCGAGTGTATGTTGTGCTCTGATATGGCGAATTTATGGCGCTTACTTAAAGTAAATTGTATCGGATTTAAAACTAAGCACTCGACAGCAGCCACTAACTAAATGGCTGTCTGCGTGCTCTGTGCACGTATTTGTGTGAGTCTCTGTTTGTGTGTATGTGTGTAAAGCTCTGTGTGGCTGTGGCTGTGTGCTGGCAAGAACAACATAAGTAAATCCGTAAAGCAAGCAACGGCAGCAACAGCAGCCATGCAGCTGTTAAACTTTGCTGCATACTTTGCGGCGCTCTTAAATATGCAGACACGCACACACAAACACAGCCACACACATACACACACAACACGCACACTCACAGCTGCTGACTTCAATGTAATTCATTTTTGACATACGCACACACACACACACACCCATAGAGATGCAACGCGGCCCGAATAAGGCGGCAGCTGGCATCTCTGAGCTACAGCGCTTTCTACATATTTACAACTTAATACCTTGCCCAATGTATGCGTGAGTGTGTGTGTGTGTGGGTGTCTGCTGGGGCTTAACTTTGCATGCTACAAATAATTAAAGCAGAAAAGAAGGCGCCACAAACTGAATGCTACAGATAGAAAGGGAGAGCTAAAGCAGCAGAAATAGGCAGAGAGAGAGAGAGAGAAGAGAGAGGCAGAGAGAAACAGCTAGCTGAGCAGCTGGATGTGTCATCGTCATCTTCTCATAAAAGTCGCCCGCTGCCTTTGATGCACTCCGCAAGGAGCACATAGCACATAGCACAGCCCTAGCCACAGCCATAGAAGCATCTACCACATCTTTTACAAAGTGTCCACACGTTCTGAATGTGTGTGGTGTGTGTGTGTGTGTGCTCCCTAAATTGAATATTTTAATGCAAATTTAATGGCTGGGTTTTTGTGTCAGTGCTTACATTTAATTTTGTTCTCAAGTTTTTGAGGTGCCTTCCCCTGTGGCACTTGTCGGCGCTCTGCTCTTTAGTTGTACATCTCTTGTGTTCTTAGTTTAGTCGCTTAGAATTTAAGTACATGTCATTTGCAGGATAAAAGCGAGCAAACTTTATGACACATTTTCAGTGCCAGCTCATACTCTTTTATTTTTAAAGGTTTTTGTGGGTTCACCTGTTTCGTTTATTTTTTAGATCTTTCTGTTTGCTTTTAAATAGCTTTTATATAATTTGTAGTACATGTTTGTATTTTTTTGTATCAAATCATTTAAACAGTTCCTGTGACTATCTCTCGTTTCTGCCTCTCGCTACACTCGCTTGTCGTTAGTTATTCCAGTTATTGGCATGTCCCTCACCATTGTCTCTCGCTACTTCTTCTATCGTCCCGCCACTTCCTTATACAGCCTCTCGCTGCTGCTTTTCGTTACCTTCTTTTGATACCGATTCTCATTATTGTTTTTCGTTTTTTGTCGTTCTTTTCTGATGTCTCGTTTTTTGTATTACATTACATTACATGTCTCGTTAAAATTTACATTTGCTGCCTTCCGCTATTGTTTCTCATTTCAGTCTCTAGTTACCATCATTCATTGCTGTCTCTCGACTTTGTTACTAATAACTGACTCTTATTTCCTTGGTCTCTCGTGAATTTTTCTCGTTATTATCTCTCGCCATTGTCTCTTGTCAGTGTCTCTTGTTATTGTCTCTCGTTGCTAAATCTGCTTGCTGTATTACTTGACTATTTTGTATTTATATCGCTCGTTACCATGTTTATCTCAACCTAATTTTTTCTCTCGCTAAACTTATTTATTTGCTCCGAACCTTTCACATTAAAAACGTTGCTAAGTTTATTCTTAGTAGAATTCTTCTATATAGATACTCCGTTAAATATTTCCCTTACTTATATCTATGTATATAATTGTTCGTTCTTCTTTTGTTTGCAATATCTGTCTCTAACGATTTAATGCAACTGTCAGCCGTATTTTTTTATTGTGCTTATTCCATTCGTTGAAACTTGAACACATAAATTGATGTGCCCTTTTTATGTCTCTGTTCCGGCCTCTAGTACACTAGTAGACTTGTCCTCCTTTGGCTCCTGTTGCCCACAGTGCCAGATAACTTCTATTATCGTATTTTTTCTGTCGAGCAATCTATCTGTCAATGTGGTACGGTTCCTTTTTCGCTCAATATCCCATCACCTGCAGCACGCGACACTCGTGCTACGATTATGCAATATCCCGATAGTCTCCGGGCGAGACCCCAGCGTACAGTGTGTACGGACAGAGAGAAAAAGAGAGAAGCAAGAGAAAAGCTACTGAAGTGTCACATGAAACGCGTTTAATTGCATTTTTTGTAGCCCCACTTTTTGCTGGTGCTGCCATCAACTGTTTGCCATTGTCGGCAAACAGACGACAAACAGATAAACAAAGTGAGGCTCAATAAAACGGTTGCAAAATGGTTCCATCTTCCATCTTTCATCTCCGGCTGATTGGGACTCCTACTACATGCGGCCACTGGTTAGGTCAGGTCGTAAATTTAATAGCCATTGGGCTCGCCATGGATCGTTTGATTTATGCGATTCGCCAGACAAACTTGGCAAAGTTCTTTAAATGCCATAACTTACACAAACTTTTGCGCTCACTGTGCACCTCATTCCCATAACAAGTAAATATACTTGATGATGGCTGCTCGAATAATGAAATACCCTGGCAAAATACACAAACTTGTTTATGCAATTTTAATAGGTTCTTAATATTAAGACAGAATAGGATTTATGTTATATATATTAGTTTTTATAGTAATGTAAATTGTTATAAGTTAGGTTTTTTTTATTAATTTAAAATAATCCTAAACAGTCGTCCTCCATTTTCACATTAATTAAAATGGCTTAAACATTCCGTAAACATTGTTCGCCAGGGTGATTTGTCTCGAGACAAATCCTCAAATATCAATCAAGCATATGTAAAACAAGAATTTTCCCAGTTTAGGATGATTTTGATGGCTTATGACAATACCACACAGTTGTACAATATTGTTACTTTAAACTATTATTCATATAGACGAATCATAGAAAATAATAAGAAGAACATTTGACTTTTAACTTTGCATTAAATTATTGATTTTTAAACAATTAAACAGTCGTCCTCTATGTTTACTTTACTTAAGAGTGACGTTTTAATTATTATACATAACACATAATCCTAATGCTCCTTAGAGTCTCCCAACTCCTTAACAATAATTAATATACATTTTTTAATAATTAATGTCCTTCATAGTTGATTGCAAACAATGCATTCGCAGTGTGAAGCTTTTTAGCTTATGCCTTTAGGCTATTTGTTGCATAAAATATTAACTACATGAATGCATAGGCCTCGAGTGCTTATGCTGTGTAGAGTATTAAAAATTAATTCGATATTAGGCAACACATGGCCAAGGTATAAATCACGTATACGCCGCTTGGTGCGTGCCACAGAAACTGCGGTCGTCTTTCTGGGCGTTCCATAAGCGACTTTGCATTGTTTGCGGGCCATAATTTAACACATTTTACGGCTGACGGAACACGCTAATAAGTCCGGTTAACCGACCACGAATCCGGCACCCAATGTACCAAGTCGCCCGCACACACGCTAATGGCAAATCGCGAACGCATTTTGTGCTTAAATTATTTAGCTCTGCAAATTGATGCTGCGAGTGTGGCCTGAAACACTTGACTGCTGCAAATTGTTGCAGCTGCATTTTGCTGTTCGCTGGCTTTTGTTGGTTTCCAAAGTTTTCGAGTTGAAAGTTTTCTGCAAATTGTCGTCGTCGAGGCGTGCAACTCAGCTCTGAAGTGCCGCCAAAGGTAGCCGAGTATTCGGAATGAAATTTTGTTAATGACTCTATAAACATTTGTTGCACAATGTGGCATTGTTTCAGAAACCAGTACGTGACGATTCAAACGAAAATATTCGCTTCAAGCTAAATTTCAGTTCAAGATATTCTAAACTTTGTTTTTGGTTTTTACTAAGTTTTCTTGGGCTAAAGCGTATCTGGAATTATTAATTCGAATTATCTAAGATCTTTGAAATTGTCTTTTCCAAACAATGTTGGTACCTTTATCTCCGTATTTTATTATTTATATAACGATTTATTTTTATTATTATTCAAATACTATTTTTTATTGGATTATTAATTGTCGTAATTTATTATTTGCTTAATTATTAACCTGTACTAATGTTGGGGTAGAAACAAGTTTGTACAGCTCAAGCAAGTTGAGGCTAAAAGCAAGTAACAACGTTGCAGTCGAATGTACAATACTCTGTTCACAGTGTGATTACAGCAAAAATTACTAAAAAAAAAAAAAAAAAATACTTTTTGCTTATTGTGTAGGTCATTCTTAAGCTGCAATTCTAAAGAACGTTAAAAGTGTCGAACTTTAGAGGAAGACTTACTTAATCTACCTGCCAACTTTTGGAACTCCACAATTTCCAGATATATAGCTTAATGCGACCGTTGTACTGAACTTATATACTCTTTTTTGCCTTCTGAAGAGAGTTTAATAAGCATTTAATCGGCTGTTTCTTGCTTTGATCGACAATTCTCGTTCTGGTTTTTGCATCTCAATTGACGCCTGACTTTGTTTTGGTCTTAACTTGTCGCTAGGCATTAGCTTCGGTTCTTAATTCGCTTTTCTCTTCGCGCTTCACCAAACGCGCAGCAACTGATAAAATCGCAAAAAGCTTTAAGTTCCACTCTTACTTTTTCTTGCTTAAGTTTTTTTCTTACGCCTTTTTGTTTGTCCACGGCTTGATTCGTGTTAAACTTTTTTTCTAGCTTAGCTTCTCCCTCATTATCCAGTTTACACTATTTATTTTGCTTCTTTTTTTTTTTGCCATTTTTCTCACTGTATATTGGTTGATTTCTCTACTCACTTTAAACCTATTTTTATTGAATTTTTTGTAAGTCTGCTTCTCGCTTTACTTCTCACTTCACTTTGTAATTCCTTGCCCGAGGCACATTTTAAGTTGAATAGCCATAAGCTGGCAATTTCCATACAATACCTGGCATTTATGAAATTGACAAGCAGCTTGCGGCTAACTTTGCGAGCCTCATCAAAGTCGTTACACAAAATAAAATGAAAGAATATTATCGCATTTATACTTGAGCTAACAAGCCAAAATTGTGGCTCAAAGCTATTTTATTTTTCTTCTATATGATTCAGAAGCTGCCCCAGTTGGACACATTTTGGCTAATGCCAATTATATTAACAATTTTAGACGACGCCTTTGGGCTGCACAGAAAGATGAAAAACTGAAATGAAACCACAAAATGATGCTGAAAATTGTGTCCAGGCGCAAAGTAATTTTCAAGTGCTGGGAAAATGTTTGATATACGCTCGGTACTTGATAACAAATAAAATATATATATATATATATATTTTTTTTTAGCCAGACTCGTCTGCACACTAGAGTGCATAAATACATATAACAAATATATGCTTGTTTTCTATGGCTGACTAACTGCCTGACAGCAGCCGGCTGCCGGTTGACAATTTGTTTTCGTCGGACTGGCGAGAACAATAACAGCAACAACAGCAACAGGACGCCAACAACAATCAAGAAAGAAAATCACTTGACTTTTCCTAGTTGTCCTTGTCGCTTGCAGGGCTCGAGAAGGCACCAGCCTGGGAAAGGGGGAGCGTTTTAGAGCGGGGAACTTAGGATTGTGTAACTGGGGGCGGGTGTCAAAAACTTGAGCGCCTGTTGACACACACGCGAAACACTCGAGCGCTTGTAGGGAGGGGGGAAAGGAAAACTGCAGACCGTGTGGTGTAGGGCTTGGCGGCTTGGAGGGGGAAAGCAGCCGAGGAGGGGACGGGACAACCGCTTGTAACCGCCAAAAACATTTTGCTAACAATTTATGTCCGTTGCATGTTCTCCGCCCGAAGCTGAAAGATAAATTTTTGCTACTTTTTCAGTTGCAGCCACTGTGCCACATCCTCGGCTCCTGCTGCTCCTGCTGCTCCTGCGGCTCCTGCTGTGTCTGTGCTTAATGGCACATCCTATTCTCCGGGTCACATGTCAGCTGATGGCGTCTCTAACCAGACGCCTGCAATTGCTGCAAGCAATTAGTTTAGAATTCTGTTGCGTTCAGCCGAGGTCCAACTAGATTGCAGCCACTTCTTATACATGTCCTTAACACGAAAGTAGGCAACCGGGTGCTATAAAAATATATGGAGATGCCTGAATGCCAAAGCGGCCCCTTCTCAGGCAGCCCATATAATTGTAATTTTTATATTTTATTTTTTTTTCAAGTTTTAAGAATTGCAGAAATGCACTTAGTGAATTTTGTGTAATTGTAATTATTTTATTTAAACTAACATAATATAAGTGGAACTTAATGGATTGATAAAATATATTTAATATCTTGCATCTGACAAGAGAAAAATTGTTCAGAATTCCAAATTTCCATATCGAATTTTCCTCGCAATATTTTTCACATCAATTTTGTGGTCAGACACTTGCTATCCATAACCAATTTTTGCATTTTCTGAACTTTTCGTTTGGCCCAATAATTCCCAAATAGTTTCTGGCAATTAGAGCTTGTTCTGTTTGCTAGAAACATGCTCACTTTTTTCTGACATCAAAAGGACACTGCTGGGCGGCATGTGGTAACAGGCAGTGACTGGGAAACCTACAGTAAAACTTTTAATTAAACCAACTTTAAGCTTTTAGTGCTGCTGGTCAGAGCTGTCAACATATAAGCACAGCAGGCAGGACACATTTTTTACAACGGGAAACTGGGGAGCGGCGAGGCGAGGTATCTGGCAAAATGCTGTTGAGGCACAGGCCAACATTAAATCTGGGCTTTAACAACAAATTTCGCCATTAACACTTTGGCCAGTGCTTAAAGCAGATGTAATGTGAAAAAAGAAGCAAAAAATCAAGAGCCCGCAGGCAACACAGCTGCTCAGCTGCTCAGCAGCTTGGCTTAAAGCCTAAAATCCTTGGCCAGGAGCTCCATAGCACTGTGGAGCGGCAACCGCTGTCAGCTGTCCAGCGAAGCGACAAAAAATGATGTGCATACATTGTGAACGGAGCTGGCCATTTGGCCAAAGGAAAGCAGCAGTACACGGAAAAGCTGGCCAACTAGTAGCCGGTTCGTCCCTTTTGTATTTTCAGTTACACCTACAAAAGCGACAGCTGTGCATCATTGTCCACGCCCCCCGCTTCTGGCTTTGTCGTTGGTGTCAGATTCGAGTCTGGTGGGTGGGGAACGGTTCGGCTCGCTGGACATGGGAAGTCAACTCACAGCAATGCCGTTGATTAAGGCCGAAGTTCGGTCTCCACCTTTTGGGAGCTCATTTTGGGTAGCAACTTTTTGCTTGCGGTTTACAGCTGTCTGTCCTCTGTCAGACCCGCAGAAACTGAGGGTCTCAGCCCATTTGACAACCTCAATATTGTCTACTCTCCTATGTTGCGGCTCTTTTATTTGAGTTTGGTATTAGTTCATGATGATGTGACAGTCATTCGGGTTTGATGATGTCTATAATATCAAAATATCATTTCGTAGCGAAACTATCGCATGCGATAATTTTGACCCTTACAGCTATTATTAACAGCTCTGTTAGTGCTGGTTTGTGTCCGCGCTAAGGGCAACAGCGTCTGTTAATGCTTGCCGTGCGTGTTCTGTTACTTAACGAGTTCCGTTAACTGCGAAGTAGGAAAGAATTAGGCAAAAATAAAATTCAACAAATAAATAAGTTATTCTATTAACCAAAACATATTTTGTTTTATATAGTTGATTTACGTTAGGCTTTTTGAAAGAGATAGTAAATAATTGATTTTGATTTTGTTTGCCATAATTTCTTAAAACATATTTGAAATAGTAAATAAAAATAAAAAAAATGTTGCTTAATTATTTCATATAATTTTTTATATTTTTTTAGATACACTTTATGTATATATGCATGTTAAATATACACTTACACTATACTACAAAATTAAAACCAAATGGGAGATTTTGTTGATTACAAAATTGTTTATTAATTATATATTTAATTAAATATTGAAAAATGGAAAATTCGCCAAAACCAGCATTAAGTTTATAAATAACAATAATACTATTCTTTCCGTCCTCTGTCCAACGCAAATTATTTTGTTTTGCAAATATTAATCAATTTCCTTAAATTTCTAAAGATTGATTAATATATTTATTTCAGTATTTTCACTTACCAACATTTCTCCGAAATGTCTCCTCCGCACTGACGGCGTCTTATGCCATTTAATTTATCTGCTAAAACCGGCAATAAATACGCTTAGTTAAACAATTCGCTGTTAACAAAAATTAATTGTCCTACAACACGCAGCATTTTCTCACTGCCTTTATTCACTTTTCACACCCATCCCCAAATTCCGGGGCCAAAAAAAATTTGATACGCTGCTTTTATTTATGACGAGGCGAGCCAACAAAAAATAGGGGAAAATAAAATCCGTCTTCACTAAATAAACAAAGCAAAAGTTTCATAAATTACAGCGTGGAAGCCGGTCAAGCAGGCTCGCGAGAGAGAGAGAGAGAGAGAGAGAGAGAGAGAGCAAGATGGGGTGTGAGAGTGAAATAGAGACTGCGGGGGAGAGGGAGAAGCAGCGCGTGGGGCAGCTGCGTGCTTGGCTCAGCTGTTTTTTGTGAATTTCGCTTTTGGCTTGGCATTTTTTAAGTTTTCGGGCGCGCCGCGCCCTTTTATTTTTGGCTGCATATTTGGCTCTCTGGCCAGACGGAGGTAAACAAATGTATTTTGGGCCGTTTAACAGCGACGACAAAGAACCGTTTTATAGCAGGCTTTCAGGCGGCGCTGTTAAAACTCAGACACGCTCTTTCACTCTCATTATGTTACTCTCTCTTGCTCTCTCTCTCTATTGATTCGTTGTGCACACTGCGCGCATGCGTCAGCTGAGCTGTAAACGCCAGACACCGGCCATAAACATACAGGGTGTTCAGCAAACCAAAACAAACCTTCTGCAACCCCTAAACCAAACCCGCATAAACAAACGCAAAGCTTGCAAACAAGCACTGGGCCACTAAAGCCAAGCGTGGTGGGCTGAGTGAGGGGGTGGGCTGGTAGAGAGTGCGCGAGGGAGAGAGAGTTCAGCTTTGCAGCTTTTATAGCATCGGGTAACATTTCGCTAACTGTTGTTCTCTGTTGGCTTTGCAGGGGTGGTATGTGGATAAATTTTAGCCGCCATGGATCCCAGTGCTCTACAAAACATGGATCGGGACGCATTAAAGAAGCAAATCGAGAATATGAAATATCAGGCCTCCATGGAGCGCTGGCCGTTATCTAAAAGCATTGCTGAGTAAGTATACAAATAATAAAAAAAATAACAAGTCATTAATGTGAACAAGTGTTTATACTAGAGTGCAAAAGTTAATTGTAATATATATAAAAACAACACGCACAACAATTTTTGACTGTCTGCCAAAACGCGTGTGCTAAATGTCTGAGTGTGCGTGTATGAGTGTATCGCTCTGTACGTGTGCATGTGTGAGTGTGTGTGTGTGTGTGTGAGTTTCTCTTGCGAGTTTACCAAAAAACCGTTGCGAACTCAGGTTTGTCTAGACGCGCGTCCCAGGCAGCAGTTTGATGCTGCCACCCAGTTGACACAGTGCTTGCCTTAAATATTCATACACGTGCCTCACCCGAAGACCAAGACTGAGCGTCAACACCTGAGCTGAAGTGTCCGTCCGGCTGCGTTGTTTGCATTTGCTAAATATTTACATAAATATAAAGTTGTTGCTGTTCTTGTTGTTGTTGTATTTTTGTTGTTGCCGCGGTTGCTCATCTCCCCACAATAAGCGACTTTTGCCTTTCAAACTGCCTTCAGTTAACTGTCTTTATTCATATTTGTATGTATATGAGTGTGTGTGTGTGTGTGTGTGTGTGTGTGTGTAGACATTGACTAGACGAAGTTCCGTGGGGCAGCAACAATTTCTTTGAGCGAATACCTTTGAATATACTCGTAACAGACTGTCAAAATGGGACAATGCTAAAATCCGTCGGTAATTTGATTTCTGTCGTGAGCTCGTTATTTATTCGTTTAGGCATAAAAATAGGCTACCAATAGATACAAATGTATCTTAAACATATTTTTATTTCAAATCTAAGAAGCCTTCGAAAAACTTGATGTACTGCATCTATTAAGATTGCGTTAATAATATATAACATTAAGCAAATTAAGATATCCAGTTAGAAGTCGACAACTTTTACCCCATAAAGCATATATATATATATTCTTGATCAGGTCGCTGAGCTTAATGGAACGATACGCATAAATCTGTCTGTTTATTTGTTGTGTAAACGCGGTAAACTCAGAGAGTAAGGTCCAAAGATATTAAATATTGAATGCAGTTGCTTAAATAATATAGGAAAATTAAATAACAATAAGTTTCTTTGACTCAAACCCTTCAAACTTACAGATTTGTCGAGTCGAGCACGTAATTATCAGAGATTAAAAGAGATGAAAAAATATCCATTTAATAGTATGTGTTTTTACCTCTTATATAGTGTCATGAGTTGTTCCATATAAATATTTCTCTTCGCGGATTTCCGCGACTACGTTGTTTAATTTAGCTGGGCGCAACTAGGTTCTGAACTTCTGTCCCCCTCTGTTTCCGTCGCTCTCGTATTCTGTGCCAGTCGCTGTATCTAATACGAACCGCACATTTTCCCGCTTTCCACATGCTTCTGCTAAAAATTGTTAATTGCCATTTTCATGGCTCGTGCAGCAAATGCCGCACATAAATCACAATAAATGTGACGCTCTCTAATGACCAAGTTGTAATATTGTTGAACCAAAAATAAACAGCATTCGCATTGTTGGCCAACTGTGACTGCGTTCTAAAATAAACAGACAGTTGGATTCAGAGTGAAGGATTTAGTTAAGCATTTAGTCAGCAGCTAATTATGAATAATTAATTAACGTAAAGCAGCGCGGATTTAGGCAACCCGATACCTTAACCCCTTGGCGGCGGCATACGTGGGGCTCACTCGAGGCCAAAATGTGTGCATCGCTTTTCATTACTCATTAACCCCATTCCATTAGAAGCCTCCTGTCATCCGAACCGCACTGCTTCTGCAGTTTTTCTAGACGCAGCTCCGAATGCTTGCCAATTAGCGATTCGCCCAGCTTAGAGCCGGGCTGTTTATTTGGCACCTCAGCTTTTTAGACTCGTTGCCGCATTTTTAGCGATTTGCCTCATTTAGAATCTCGGCCTTAGTTTCAGCTTTGTCTCAGGTGTTAATTTCTAAAAGCAAATCTATTTATCATAATTAGGCTGATAAACACGCTCAATTCTGTGTGGCTATCTGTTTGTCACTGTCACGAACTTGAAATCCATTTAAAAATAAAATTTATCAACCAACTGTGAATGCCTTTGCCTTTTTAGGCTGATTTATCTTTTTAAGCTTGCGTTTTGCAATTGGGTCCATTTTTTGACTGAAATACATGCGTATTTACCCAAAACAACTTTAACCAGCATTTTATTTTTCTCCATTTTATTTGATTTCGACTGACCACGGCGAGTTATAGCTGGTATATTCAGTAAATATGTATTTAAACATATAAAATTGAACAACAAATTTGATTTAATATTGAATGACATAGAGGTAAATAGAACATAGCAAAAAAATTAATATTCAATATTTAATATTTATTGAAATAGAAAATCTTGAATAGTCATATGTGTACAAAGTATTTATAACACAAGAAATATTATTGAACTTTTTTGTTCTTTATGATGGAGTATAGTTATTGTATATTCAACTCATTATGCATTTATTTTTCTTTTCACATTGTCGAAAATTTGTAAATGGCAAATACCGCAGCACGTATTTTTGTGATTTATAAAGTAAAGTAAAATACAAGCTGTCAGGAATGTTAAATTTGAAGTGAGGAGTAAACATGGCATTGTTCCATTTCATTTATCAAAGTCCAACAAGGATGTTTGTTAAATATAGAATGAAGTTGAGCACTTGCAAACTATTTCTTTTGTCAAATTTCATGAATTGTTTAAATTTTCATAAAACTCGAAATGCCAAATAAAAACAATTGCTTTGCATTATATAGAAAAAAAAAACGCCTTCGCAAAATATACACAACTTAAAAGTCAAACTTTCGAGTACAAACAAAAACAAATTTTGGTAAAGACGAAAAATGTATTTGTTCTGTTCGATAATCGATGTAAACCAAACTCAAATACGTACAGTAAAACTTTTAACAGCATTGACAGCCAAGCATCAACAGCATCAACAGCAACAACAACAACAACAGCAAATGCCATTTAACAACAATAAAATGACAAATGCAATTTTATGGAACAATTTGTAGTCGATTCTCGTAGCACTTAGCAAAAGCATCAACTCAATTTCACGAAACATCAAACATTTGTCACTCAATCAGCAGCAAAACGAAGCAAATTAGACAAACTCGCACATGCACACACACACACACACACACACATATGAACAGTGGTCAACTTTACAAAATCAAAGTCAATTAAATTTTGAGATGCGAAATCGAGGCGCATGATTGATGGACAAATTGTACAGACTGACCACTGTGGCCAAGAGAAATGAAGAGCAGAGGCGGGGGAAAATGTGGTGTGCGTGTGTGTGTGTGTGTGCGTGCTGTAGGCATCTCGTTAAGTGCAGCAAACACCGCACATTACGGCGATTTGGTGCAACCGAGCGGCAGCCGAACACGCATCAACGAAATGGAACCCAATCTTTCGTCCACATCCGCTGCCTCTCCCGCTGCCATCGTGATTGATTGACACTTTGTGTTCTGGTTGTAACCACACACACACACACACACACACACATCGACACACACGCGGAGAGCAACCTGCGTGACAGCTCCTGCAAGGCACGCCTGTCTAGAGGCTGGCCATTCGGGGCGGTTGTCCGTAACGAAATGTTGCATGCCTCTGGGCGCACATATCACAACCTCCCGGGCATGTATATTTCACCTTAATGATAAGTCCAAGTTTTGCGGCTGGCTTTGTTTTTCCTATTACGGCGGTTGCTAAACTTTGCCGGCAGCGGCAGCGTCCCCGCCTTCTACCAAAAACTTTGCCGTGGACTCCAGGTGGCAAAAAGTTTCCACGTGGAAGCCTCTCATAAAATCTCAATGCGCCCGCAAAACTCTGCGCTCGAGTCCTAACTGCTTGCTGCTTACTTTGCGGGGGTTGAGTTGGTGTGCGGAGAGGGGTATCTCCATGTGCATATAAATCTGTTGTGCATTTTAATTTACCATCAACAACAAGTGCAAATTTATTTTCGGCTACGTTGTATAAATAAAACAAGTCAGAAACTATAACAGGCAGCTGCTTACTTATTGCAGCTGATCGAAGAGCGCATACCCTTCAAGTGAGAACGTTTTCTTCTTGCAACTGATTGAAGAGCACATACCCTAAGGGTAGTGCTTGAGCGGGGTTATCTCCCGCTCGAATAGCAAACAATTTGAAAAAACACAGCTAATCTACTCTTAGTATTTCATTGAAACTAAATTAAGTTGAGTAAAAATAATCGTAATACTTAATTTATACTGTGCTCAAAATTGTCAGATTAGTAATTATCTCTGAATGTATAAGCAATCGCACTCGCAAATAGTTCTGGCTTAACCATTTCTAATTATATATAAATATACTCTACTATAGTATATTTTAAAAAGTTTTTCAACCGGTTCTTCCTAAAGCAGACACTGAACACTTAGACCGATTTGATACGGATTTGTAAACATTTTAGGAGCTCGTAATTGTTTACATATATCGAAAAAATTGTTACGTGATGATATCAAACACAATCAGGAGAGTTACAAATAAAAAACTAATTTCTTGTGTATAGCTTGCTATAGTTATTTATATAAATTATAGAGAAGTCCGATGCTGATAAGACCTTGTTCGAAAAGCAACATACATATATATATTTGCTTAAAGGATTCCGAGAAGTCTACCTCTATTTCATTTCTTGAAAATGTACTCCCTACAAAGTTAAAAATGGTTCATTAAATATCGTTTCTAACAACTTTCTAATCTGATAAACAGCATATTTTAGTGATTGTGCTTGAAAGTAGTGATTCCTTGAAATGAAATGAATAACTATTATAATTCCCTTGTAAAACTATTCTTAAACTACCCCTGAACAATTACTTACAAATATTTATAGAAAGTTGGTTCTTAAAAGGGAGGTACGCCCACTAAAATATTCAGTATAGGGTATAATATATGTGAATTTGGCATTTCGAGCAGAAAATTGTCTTACTTTAAAAAGGGGCAGGAGGGCAGGAACAGAGGGAGG